TTAATTACTTGGAAGAAACTTGAAAAGTCAAGATTAGCACAAAGCAACCGGAAATTAAAGTTGACGTCAGGCATGTGCTGAAGCCAACACGGCCCGATTCACCACCAACCCTTGAAAGGGTGTTGAGGATCGGTTTCATCACTTTGGTTCCTTTTTTCATTGTTGTCCATTATTCGTAGTGTTGATGTTGATTGCCGCCTTTGATATATAGTTATCTATGTCGTGCTCATTCCGCACCTTTTCCCTTGTGACTCTCTCTCCTAAACGAGGAGAGGGGGGGGGAAGGGGGAAATGGTTGACCTGTTTGGCTGCATGAAAGATTAATGGACAGAACAAAACGATGTCATCGCGCTTCCCGCTGTCAACCATGGGCTGTTTTTGTTTTTTGTAAATGAAAACAGGGATTTATGATTTGCGGCCTTGGAAGCACAAGGCCCATTAACTATTACTTGCTTTCAAGGAGATTGACACGCAGATCAGGTAGTTATGGGAAGGACAGAATTACAAGAACCAGATTCATGGACAAACTTCTTTATCGAACACCTCATTATACTTGCGATTCTGATATATTCCTGCCAATATACGTTTATTTGCGTCGCTACAGAACAGACGGATCCTCTGGGCTCATTGGTGATCGCTTTCATGTGAACAAATATTTACAATGCCTTTGCGCGACTCCGGATCGACATTCGTCCCAGTCCCACTGTTCAATCTAAAAAGGCTGATGCAGTTTGCCGCACAAGCTACCACGCAGACTGCTTGACCAGGCCGTGCATGATCGTATTATCCTATCAATATCGATATCGGGCATCACCATCCCTTTTTTAAAACCAGCCAACAAACAGTCCATTCGATGGCCCTTTTCTTCCCTTTCTTGAATCGACGATTGCAAAACGATTGATTATTTGAGGATTCGGAATCCCAAGGACCCCAAGTGTTCTAGGGACGGACCACAGATGATGACACACGGTGCTCCTACAGTTCTATTATCCATATAATCATTCCAGAACTCTCCGTCCAGTTGGCTTTTACAGGATTTGGTTGAATTTGGTAGGTTGGCTGTTGCCTTGAGTCTGGTCCCGGGGGATGCCTAGTGAACTCACTAAGCACCTGCACAGATCTATAGGAAAAGAAGAGTTTTCTGTACTTCTATTGCTCCGATCGCTCCGTTCTGATGCACTCCGGCATTAACTGAGCACCTGTCTCGAGACGCTGGCTATTAGCAGGTATTGGGAATGGTGTAATTCTCACCAACCCTCTCACTGTTATTGCTACGGAGTAAGCAGTGAAAGCTAACGTTGATTGATCGAACCTAGGGGTGTTGAGGTTAGAAGATAGCACTACAATCGATCAGCTTGTTGCGGGTTTTCAGATGGAGGAGAATAGGAGGAGGGTTCATGTGTGATAGGCCATCTGAGAAATGGAGAGAGCTGTTGGCGGTTGATGGGAGAAATCTGCTTGTAAAAATTGGCATAAAGGAACCGTGGTGTGGGCCGCCCTCTGACTCTTTCCCCTTCGGCAGTTGATACTCTCATCTGTTGTGATGATATATCATGGGTCGTCTACTACTCGGGCACCAACCCAACGAACCGGCATTCCTTATTTTTATTTTATTTTATTTTAGTTCTTTTTTATTTTCCGGCTTGCATCGCATCTGGCAAACTCCTAGTCACCAACATCCGCAAACATCGCGTGCAACAACAAGGATGAACTCCGTCGAAGCGCTTAGGCCTCGCAGCCACCCCGGCCGTCCAGCCAACTAAACATCCAGCCAATCCATCCATAAATGCTGGCACTTTCTTATTTTCAGGAGCCGGTCACATGGCCAGAAATTAGTTGGTTCGCGTTGGAAATATGCAACGGGGTAGTTTATCAAATCCTTTCTCTGTAAGCTAGTTAGCTGTGGCAAGGGAAACTATTTTTAGGTGCTTAAAAAAGTTATCACAGTTAAATGCACAAAGGTTGACATAAAGTTAGAAACTTTTACATAACGGCTGCTCAAGCATACATACGTACGTGCATGAAATGCACTGGGCACCTAAGGAGTGCGGTATTCACTGTCAGATTTAACCCTGAATAAAAGGGAGAAAGCGATGCCAGGTTCGATATAGGGATATATGACTGAATCATTTCATCTTGGTAGCAGGGTTTGTCTGCCAAAAAGAACGATGTAGGGTGTTACTCCGGAAGAGATGGTGGTTATTCCCAGGCTCGATGCTTTATCCCACATCAGAATCCCAACTCAATCGAGAACTGTGTTAAATCTAGATAGTGGATCTAAAATAATACCGTGATGAATCGGAATTATCTGGATTTTCTTTTCCCGGTATCATTTCCAGTATGATTTTACGGAGCTTCCTCGAATCGGCAATTGGGACCTTACAGCGCGCCGCGAACAACCGTACCGAGGATGGTTCCAGTCTGACCCACGAATATCCTTTCAAAATATTTTGGGAGCTCCTTTGGTTCTACATGGATCGCACTTTTTATCAATGTTGGCAGACAGCAACCGTGGGCACTTTCGGGAGGAAGCAGCTGCATGAGGCAACAACCGGAATATTATATGCAGTGTTTGCAACAAATACAGGAGCTTCCGTTCGAAGCACTCAATTGGGCATAGGGGAGAGATATTTCGAGTCTTCGAGGAAAAGCAGTCATCATCTCGAAAGTTTCAGGACTATGGATTAAAAAAAAATATCACTGACAAAGCGGAGTTAAAGAAAAGGAGGCACATTGGAAATTAGATTGGAGATGTAAAAATATATTCTTGGATTTATGTAATGGAAGGCGTTAAATGGCCCTTCAACCTTCGATATCCCGCAAGAAACCAGTTACGTCTAACTGCATGTTGACCGCAAAAGATGGACCACCGTATCCACAGAATCAAGCTCCACCTACCGCGAACGGGAAGAAAAGCTAATTTCAAAAGATACCGAGGTGAGTAGTTGGTCAGTTTTCACAGAGAAAAACTTTATCTTCTTTGAACCAAAATAGGCCTATACCATGAAGAATAAAAGTCCCAGAAAAACAGGATGGTAAGGGCCAGAGTGTTGGCAAAGGTGGGGGGGGGGGGGGATGTCACGTACGAAATTGGTATTCATTTCCTTGGTTTTGGTTTTTTCCTATTTTTTTTGTAAAGGCAAAGATATTGTTGATATGGCAAAATGAAGGGGTATATAACTGGTATTGACAAGAAAACGAAGGAAGGTTAAAATGGTGGCCATATCTCACAAACCCACCTAGGCGGTCGACCAGATATTATTATTTCGAGTCAGATTCTGTCTGCGCATATAGAGCAACAACACATTATAGACAGTTTCATCGAAAAAGAAGAAAATAAAAAATCCGATCGCCTCAGCTAATACAAAAGAATTCTTGCTTTTTTCATAAATTTTTTTTTTTTTAAAAAAAAAAAAATTGGATCCGCTAATCTACTCCGAAGGAACTATTGTCATATCCGTTAGCACAGAACCAAACGCAAACTTTCAAACACCCCAAAATGAAGGAAAACCACATACTATCAATCTCCCCAGCCTTGACCTCGTCACTGATGTCCTTGGGGCTTCGTCCGTCAACCTGGCAGCCAACGCTGAAAGCAGTTCCGAGGATCTCAAGGACAGTTCCTTTCAGCTCCTTGGCCAAACTGCGCGAGCGCATGACGCGGGCAATCTCAATGATCTCATCGAGAGGGATGGACTTGGTGTGCTTGATGTTCTTCTCCTTCTTGCGGTCACGGGGTGGCTCCTTGAGGGCCTTGATGACCAGGGAAGAGGCAGAGGGAACAACGGAGACTTGCGCCTGTCTGTTCTGGATGGTGAGTTTCACGGTGACGCGGAGGCCTTTCTGTATTGGCAAGCAAGAAGAAGCAGATGGTTAGCTGCCTGACTTCCATGGGAATTTGGCACTGGTTGCGAATTTCGACGACGTACCCAGTCGCCAGTAGCCTTGGCAATATCTTCACCAATCTTCTTGGGGGAGAGACCGAGAGGACCGATCTTGGGGGCAAGAGCGGATTGGGCACCGACCTCACCACCTGTGGTCCGCAGGTGGCTATAGATATTGTTAGAATTGGCATGCAATGGTAATTCCTTGCTGGATGGCTTTGCCAAACGAGGTGTGAATGAAGGGGAACTTACATGATCTTCACCTCATTGGGGTCGAACTTGGGAGCTATTCAAAATGCATAATCAGTCGCCAGTCACCATGTCATGATGACAGCCAAGGGGACGATACTTACGCATGGCGAGTGCGAAAGGTAGTCAGTCTGCCTTGGTGGTTGTTGGAAGGTGGATGAGGTTTGGTTAAAGGAGCAAAAGAAAGCCTCCGTGAAAGTTTTCAGGAGTTTTGTAAGCTCTGTTGGCGTGCTGGCTAAGCGAACCGTTTTTGGACAATTAGGGCACAACCCTGATATCTTGATCACGTGATAAATATATAAAGCTGCCAATCCATGAGAGATTAATCCTAGACAATTTTGGAACATTAAACTATAACAGCTGGAATAATAAAAAAGCCTGGCAAATAAATGAAATGAAATTAAGTTAAATTAAAAGCTCCCGCTAAAAGATACATTACGGTCAAGTTACTAAAACATGGGTCTTAACTCTATTGTTGAATTTTACCATTGGACTTCTCTAACCTCAATTTTCAACTCGTACCCGAGACGGCCAATCTGAGTTTTTTTGGTCAGCAACTCATTCACTCTATAATCATCGTGGATACATAACGGAGGGGGGAGTTGTTACTTACTTCATAAGATGATCCATGAATGTCTGGAGTGAAACATCATCCGTAAAGATAGTTTGTGCAGACTGCACTCCTCCCCCGTAGCCACCGGTGGAGTGAGTCGTGGATGGGTTAAGCTTGGAAAGTAAGAAACGAGCCTGGGAGCCACCTGCATCGCAAATGATGAAGCGAGGGAGCGGGAATCGATCTTGGATAAGTTCCTGTGAAAAAGAAGAAGGGAGATGTTAGATAAACATAAATCAAAAAAAAAAAAAAATTATATGTGTAAAGTAAAATGTAACAAAACATACCCTAGCATCTTCCTTGGGTTGGTCAAGAATAGCCTTGAAATTCTCATAACCTTCTTGCTCATGATAGCCCGCCTTCCGCCACGCCGCCATGGTTTCACCGTGGAAAATTAGGATATGGAAGAAAGTATCCAGGAGCAGTATATGTGCGGGCTGGATGGAAGCAGAGTCTAGCAGGACTGGTTGGCTGCCCTCCTGCTCTAGGGAATAGGAATCCAAAGTGGGTTGGATCATAATGAGTGAGTTTCCAACATCTTCATGGTTGAGGACATGTCTATAAAACGCGGTCTCATCGGGGGAATTGTTGAAAACCTGCAAAAATTGGCTTCGTCGCAGGTGGAACATAAACTGTGGATAGAGCGTGAAGTTCTTCTCCAGCCGGAATGAGGTGGGGTCGTCTTTTCTGTAGTCCGCGAAGCGAGAACAGAGTCTGATGAGCATTCTGTCAACCCATCTCAGGACATCGGGTCCGTCGTCAACTTCGGATTTGAAGACTGCGATTCGAGACATGAGCACCGCAGCTGCTTCTTGGTCGAAAGATTGAGCGAGTGCTGAGTCGCCGGCTGGACTGCTGAAAGTTCGAGCAACGGTGGAGACTCGGAGATGGTATTGTCCAGACGAATGCTGATAATACGTCAAGAACTGGATCATGGCTCTATTAGGTCCCTGTTGCATCGGGGCTGGGCCTCCCTGGTTGGCGATTTCGAAGTAGATACCGTAACTGGACATGGGGTCAATCCCACACATCTTCCACGAACAGGTATTACCAATACCACACTCAGTTTCTCCAACAGAATTCGATTTCTTGTTCAGCGAGACGGCATGACCGATAAGGCCTGTCACCTTCAATTCCTTGGTTGTGAGCACCTCCAGCGAAGCATTGAAACCCATCAGAAGATTGTCATTCTGATCCTTATCGAATATTCGCACAAACGATTGTTTAAATTGGGAAGATGTAAAGCTATCCGTCAAGATCATATGGCCACCTGTAGAGTTCGCCAAACCTTTCATTTCAAGTAGACCAACCTGATCTAGGCAGCCAGCGAAGATATCAACAATGTGGCCATTGTGAGCAACACGCTTTGCAAGACTTTCATAGAACTAGAACGGGGCCGTGTCAGTTGCAAATCAAAAAGTGGGGGGGGGGGGGGAATGAACATGAAAACGAAAACGAAAAGTAATGAAGCTCTGACCTTCAAAGCCTTTTTGTAATACTTAATGTTATCCCGATCAATATCATGATGAGATCGCATGGGCTCCTTAAGCTGCGGCCCAACTACATGACCAGGGCCCTCAGTAGCAGGGCCGCTAGTGAAAAGCATAATACGACCTCCAGCACCCTGGAATGACGTCTCCATAAGCCCCACAGCGACACTGAGAGCAACACCAGTGCACCGCAACGGTCGCTTGTCATTAGCCACAGGCCACGGGTCCCGCTGTAATTGCTCGAGAACGTTCGTGATCTGGAAATCGGCTTGTTGCACTGGGAGCAGGAATCTTGCAGCTGGAGACAAGGGCAGGTTGGGCCGGCCAGGTTGCTGGGGCATTTGTGGACGAAGTCCTGGGGCAAGGAGGCCGAGCATCTCTTGGACCTGTTTCGCGGCATAATCTTTGCTTCCTCTGAAGACGTATGACTTGGCGCATTCGGTGTATCCTATTTCGTGGACTTGGGCCTAATGAATTTTCCCCAGTGGTTAGCTCATGCAGTTCTTTTGCAACTGCTAGCACTTTGTTTCATTACGAGAGAGTCATGTGTGCCCTAACCATAGTGCCATAGGTAATCAAGCCAACCAATGCATTTGGGGGCAACAGGGAAAGGCTCATAATAAGAGAGTCTTTCACAGCTTTCAAGCTATCTTCCTCCTGGCACGTATCGACCACAAAGAGGAAAATAGGAGGTGCTGGAGCTGGCCTCGCAAGCTGGTATTCGATAGTGGTACTTTGTGGATGAAGTTCGGGCGGGATTGCATTTTCGGTTATATCTTTGTAATGAGGGGGGAGGGGATTCCGTTGCAGACAGAAGGGACATATCCAGATCCGAGCACGAATATCAACGTTGCTATAACATCGACGTCAGTCATTGAGCAACCTGTCGCGAAGTTGACCGTCTGGGCTTGGGGTGGGGTGGGGTGGGGTATACAAATGGAAATATATCAAGTTCCACGTACGCAAATGGATTGAGAACAGCTCTGCAAGGCTGTTTGCAAGTGACGGGTTCGTATTGTAGCAAAGGGGATTCGGGCTTCTCTTTCAATGGGGTGTAGATGGCTCCAATTGGTACCACGAGCCGGGAAGCCTCCTATACATAGATATATCGTCTTAGCGGGCTGCAAAATCATCAGGGTGCGAAGGGCAACAAACCATGCGCGTGCTAGGGAAGGTATTCCAACTGAGCCTGATACCATCGCGGTCCTCAACTTCACTCCACTGGTCCTTCAATGCCTCGTAGTCCATGGTTGTGCTGGGGTGTCTGTAGATGCCCTCACCGATAGAGACAGTGAATGAAAACAGGTACAAATGGAAACGTTGGGCGGTGTCCGCTGGGGGTATATACTAGGTATTTCAGACGAGTCCGCCCGGGGACACAACAAGCGGCGCCAGAAATGACTGTTGAAAGCCACCGGTGGGTTGCTTAAAAGGTTGATAACTTGCTTTGTTGTTCCAGCGACGTCTCTCGTAGTGGATGTTCCTGGTTGTTGTGCCGTTGGATGAAGCCAGGTTGCAGGAAAGCCGGGTTGGTGCAGTCTGCCGTAGTTAATAGCTGACTATTCCCCGTTGGGTCCAACTATAAAAAACCAACAATCTGCTGAAACGCCAAAAATTTTCTCCTTCTCTTTTTTTCCCCTTTAAAATTTATGACCTCGCCGACTTCAAATAAATACACATTACTTACCGTCAGCTTCTGTCATCCTCAATGATGTTGCTGTTTTCGCGTCGCGCGTAGAGAGATTAAAATTATTTATTTAATTTTTTTTACCCATGGCTGGGCACCCGGCTTTGAGAGCTCATACTGACGCTTTAGGATGAATCGGGAATCAGCAGCGGTAACATGTTTTGTGCTTTGCAATTGATTGATTTATGTTGTTTACCTTCATTGCATCTGATGTCTGGATAACTTATGGTGGGATCCTGGATGCATCTGATTGTTGCAATAGGGAGTGCAATTCCATTTATATATGCCAGGAAAGAAATACAAATTCATTTGAAAACCCGTTAAACCAGAACCAACCACTGAAATAAACCGCTATCACTCCCTATGAATCCAAAAACTCCAGTCATCATAACTACAGAAAAGAGGTGAAAATAACCAGCCATGCACAGACAGGGGTATTACAATCTGTATACGCATAATCATCCTTACGTCGTCATCTCCACATCCTTCTTCGCAACCTGCCCCAAATTCTTCAACAAATAGCTCCGCTTAAAATACGTATTCGGATGCACAATCGTATCCAGTTCAGTCTGACTCCATGTCCCCTCATCCCGAACCTTCTTAATCTCCGCCTTATGCACCCACTCAAACACCCGGTTGCACGCAAGGTGATACCGCGTCTTGCCCACATCCTCCTTCACTCCACGCAGCACATCCTTATCATTAACCCCAGTCGCCTGCAGGAGGGTGATGAGATTATCCACCGAAAAATGCCGGTAGGGGCATCCGTGCGTCTGCCCGGCACCGGGCGAATTGTCTGTTAAAATCTTCTGGCAGGAGTAAGGTGGGTAGCCACGTCCGCGTCGGTTAACGTCGCCACCCACGTCGCCGTAGGCGTGGCGGACGTTGTATTTGTATTTGGAGTTGAATTCGTCGTCTGTAAATGTTTTGAAGGATTGGCGCCAGAATATCAGGGCGTCTTCGAGGGAGAGGCCGATGCCTTTTAGGAAGAGAGTGTATTGCAGGCGGCCGAAGTGTTTTAGGTGGGAGTTTTTGCGTAGCTGCATGTGTAGATTGCGCATGCAGAGTGGGAAGTGCTGGGAGAGAGCGTCTATGGATGATGCTGTGATGGGTGCCCCGGGCACTGAACCTTCCCCTTCGCTATAGCTGGAATCGGAGGTGCCGAAATTCTTCGAGAGATGGTCGAGAATCGGGGTTAGACGGTCGTCTTCATCTAGTCGGGGCAATGCTCGGCTTGTAAACTGGAACCAGACAGTTAGAATATGGATATCGTGACAGCTTAGTTCCTAAGCGTTAACCAAAAAAAAAAAAATAAATAAATAAATAAAAAAAAAAAAAAAAAAAAAAGAGGAGAATTTATGTCAGTATATCCACACCTCAAGTGCTTTCTCCAAACGAGCCGTAAATTCTGCAAGAATCATGCTAAGCTGTTCTCGCACTGGTACATAAGCCTTGCCCTTTTTCACAAACACGCCCCTACGCTCAACCAGCTCCGGCACCTTATCCCAGTCCACTTTAAACCAGCTCTCCTCATCCAGACGCCGGGCACCAAAGGTAGATGCAAGCAGGCTTTCGCCAAGTTCATGCTTCTCTTCATCTGAGACCATGTCCCAGTTGAAATTGAGGCTCTGGACAAAGGCTTGGTTTTCCTTCGTGTCATCTTGTTGGAAGCGAAATTTAAAGAGCATGGTCTCGAGACGGGCGAAGCGGCGCCTTAGATCCTCTGTTGAAGAGAAGGCCAGACGGAGGATGAAGTGGGAGTAATGGTCTTTTCGGCGTTCATTTCGTAGGCGTTCGTCTACACCGGTGCTGGAGGATCTGTTTGAGGAGAGCGGGAGGAATTTCGAGAGGAGGGGTGTGATGTGGGCCGCTGTTTCGGCGGGGGACTTGTTCCGATATGAGCATGCTTCCAGCTCCGCAAGAACTAGATTTTTATATGTATGAGTTAGTAACTTCAACAAGAATCAGAATAAGGAGGTTACAGATTTTTTTTAAGAATAAAGAAGAAAAAGGAAAAGAATATATATATATATATATATATATATATTGCTTAACGCACTCCTCAGTCTGTCAATGGCCCACTGTTCGAATTCCTCCAGGGTGATCTCTTGGGTTGGGGGGATTTCATAGAAGTTGAGCCGGTGTGAATAATCATGCTGTTTGTAGGTAGGGGATGCGAATTGTTTCTTCTTGTAGTCGAGTCCAGCCCGACGCTTCGGGTCGATGCGAGATCTATCGTACTGGATCATTTGTGGGTGCGATATATACGGGGTACTAGAAGTCGTGAATCCATCCAAGTGGTGAGTGGTGAGTGGTGAGTGAGGTCGTAAAAGGTACGTTGAGGTTTTGACGCGTCCGTTTATTCTTTTTCGACATTGGGACGCGAATGACTGGGATCCGATTAACTAAGCAAAATCAAAACCCGGGAATCGGCCAGGACTTCGGATTTGCCTCGGCTGCGAACACGCCCCCGCCCACAGCAAACACAAGCTTCCAGGAACCAAAAAATTTCCTTAGTTGCAGGAAAGGAGCCCAACATCACAGACTCTATTCTGGACCCCTGTCCCGTTTCTCCGAATTATCATCACCCCTTCTGTTGTCTGTTGTTGTTCTCAAGGTGAAATCCCTAAATTCCCCCGCAGCTCTCCAGTCCCACATCTGGGGGTCTACCAAGGCTAGATACGGCCTTCGCACAATGGAACACCGGTATAGCTGGCTCCATCCATACATAAGAAGCTCAGTGTAAACCATGCGTCATCGTCACCATCATCATCATCATCTCATCCGCAATTCCTCTCAGCGGTGAAATCTCCCGGTGTCATTCTCCCCCGGCTCTTGAATCTGGGGGAGAGTGGCGAACAGCGGCGGTTGAAGTTGAGCAATTGGCGGCTGCGTGGTTTGGCTACGGCTGCTGACTCAGCTCTCCTTTCACCGAAACCCAAATCCAACTAGCCGTAGTTTGTCTATCTACTAAAAGTTTAGTTCCCGCCTAACCCAACATCGCGAGGGAGAACAAACTCTCCACTCACTCACTCACTCACTCACTCTCTCACTCACTCACTCACACACACACACACACACACACTCTCTCTCTCTCTCTCTCTCTCTCTCTCTCTCTCTCTCACTCACTTTCCTCCTCCGCCTCTTCTACTCCTTTACACCCCCACTTCTTTTAGTTTATGCCACCCCTCTCTCTATCTTTTTCTCTGCTTCCGATCCTGTCCTGCTCTTCTCCAATGTATATTTCTGCTTTTAAATTACCTATCTTTGTGTATTATTATCTGGCAGGATGATATAGACATTCCCCTATTCGCTTGTTCCCCCTTTGTATATTCTTACTTCCAAATATTCCTATCCTGCTCCTTCAGATAAGCCTGCCTGCCTGAATCTACGAAGGGACCACCAACCCTGCCATCATCCTATTGCCAGACCCCATTCTCCAATCCTGAAGGTATAATGACCCGGGCAACGAAGCAGCTGAAAAAGGCGGCGCGAATCATCCTCATTGGAGCCCCTGGCGTGGGGAAGGGCACCCAGACTGAACGGTTGATCAAGAGGTACCCCCAGCTCGCATCCATCAGTTCCGGGGACCTCCTGCGACAAAATGTCCGTAGAAAGACTCCTCTAGGTACATATATATATGTTCATACATTGCAACAACTCACTCTCTTGGCTTCTTCTTCAAAATTACATTCTCCAACTAACAACGACTAAAAACACTCAGGTCTCAAGGCGGAGTCTACCATTCTAGCGGGAGATCTTGTGCCGGATAACATCATCTTGGAGCTGATTTCCTCCGAACTCTCGTCCAAGGGTTGGCTCTCCGCCCTTCCTACCACTTCCACTGCTTCCCCCGCCGCTACTCCCCTTGCTGCTGCTGCTACTTCTCCTGCTCCTCCTACTACCACCCCCGCCACTCCCATCCTCAACCCCAGCGCCTCCTTCATCCTCGACGGCTTCCCCCGCACAGCAACCCAGGCTACAAGCCTCGACCGCCTAATCCCCATAAACCTAGTCGTCCACCTCCTCACCCCGCCCGCCGTCATCATTTCCCGCATAGCATCGCGCTGGGTGCACGCTCCATCCGGCAGAGTCTACAATACCGACTTCAACGCACCTAAAGTCGCGGGCAAGGATGACATCACCGGTGAGCCCCTGGTGCAGAGGGAGGATGACTCCGTGGAGACGTGGAGGCAGCGGCTGCGGAAGTTTGAGGAGACGAGTCGGTCGCTTTTAGAGCATTATGAGAAGAGGGGGTGTTTGTGGAGGGTCGAGGGGGATTCGAGTGATGAGATCAGTCCGAAGCTCTTTGAGGAGATTGAGAGGAGGTTTGCGTAGGGATTTTATCGGTTGGATGTGGTATATATACATATCGTAGCTGCTTTTGGAGTCTCATGTCGTGGTCTTCTTAGACTCTTATTTTTTCTTCCTTGGCTTGGTCGCCTTTTGGCAACTCCCACTCGCTCTGGAGAGTGTCCAGGCCGTGTGGTTTTCCTTTTCCATATTGACCCCTGTCCCTGGGAAAAGTGGATGCATTCGTCCACTCCTATCTGGTATATGCTCTCTAGGTGCATTCCAAATATATCATATCTTCCAGCAGCCAACAGCCTCACAGCTGTGCAGATTATCATCTTCGTAACAATATATATCACAAATAAAAAGCTCCTTAGCATTTACTCATTGATACGGAATACAAGCATAGAAATCTAATCTTGATTAATCTTGTCTGTCTTATCATCATCATCATCATCTTTCCCTCTCCACCTCAAGAATATTCTCATAAAATCATCATACAAAAAGATTCCAAAGAGAAAATCGCCGGTATCAAAACAAAAACACAGAGGGCTCATCAAAGATATAAAGAAATCAAGAGTTAAAAACTCCACCCATGCAAGCACGAAGCATATGCATATCATAGCCACAGCGTAAACAAACATCAAGAGAAAACAGTAAATGAAAAAGCATATATGCATCGCAAACGCTCCCAAAACGAACCCACAAGATCAAGCAAGTAAAGGAGAGGCATCCCCACCGAACTAATTCTTCCCCCCATTCACCCCCAACTCTCCCATTCCCCCAACACCAGCAGCAGCAGCAGCAGCAGCAGCCCTCTCCCCCTCCACCCCCGCCATCCTATTCTTATACTCCCTCGGACTCTCCCACCCAGCCCCCTTCCACCCTTTCCACAACCCCCTCCCCCTCCTCTTCGCCATCTCCTCAGCCCTCCGGTACTTACTCTCCTTCCCCTCGCCGCCAAACTCCACCCCACTCTTGGCCTCATATACCGTCGCCATCCCCGCTCGCAGCATCTGTAATCCGACATCCCGCCGCAGGAATATCCACGGGAATCGCCGCACGTAGACTGTCGCGACGACTCGGCCGTATTGGTCCTGGCGGTAGGGAAAGGCGCGCACGCGTTTGTTGAGGAGGTAGTTCGTGAGCCAGGTGTGGGCGGCGTGGGAGTAGGGCTGGGCTGGGCGACCGAAGTGGGGGAGTTCGGGGGCGTCGATGCCTGCGAGGCGGATGTGGATCTGCGGGTGTACGTGTACGTGTCAGAGGGAGGTTGTATTTTGTGTGGTTTGGGGACAACAATCGAGAGGATGAAAATAGGGAGGAAGGGGGAGGAAAGGGGGTTAACAACTTAGAGTCGAGGCCAAACTGAAAAATCATCAATCCTCAAGAAGTGCATAAAAGAAAACATACAGTCCGGTCCTTCAACTCCTTCTTCACCCTTGGCACCCTCCGAAACGGCAACCATTCCCACCCCGCCAACCGGCCGCCGGGCGTATGATACATGCGAAAATTATCCCCATCGCCCACACTCGTGACGCGTCCAAACAAGCTGCGTTTATGAAAATAGGTTGGCGAGATGTTCGTTGCGAGTGGGATGCGGCGTAGGTATTGGCGGTGGATTCTCACGCAGAACAAGATGCCGCCGGTTAGAAGGAGGGTGGGGATTAGGTTTCGCGGGTCTTTGAATTCGCCGGCCCAGTCGCGGGCGGTGAGGGAGGTGTTCCAGCCTCGTTTGGGGTTGGAGGGAAAAGTGGTAGCTTTGGTAGAGCAGCTGGCGCAGGGGGGATGTGATGGGGATGGGCATTCCAGGGTAAGTGGTGGGCGTCTGTTGATGTTGTTGTTGATGATGATGATGTTGTTGTTGTCGTCATCGTCGTCATTGTTGTTGTTGTTGTTGTTGTTGTTGTCTTTGTTGTTATTGGGCGCCTGTTGCGATCCGGACGACCAGAAGAGCCATCGCATCGCGATTTATTTATTCCCTTGTTCTTACTCTATATATGGGGATGGTTACTCGATATGTGAGGATATAAATTGCGATGGGAAGAGGTTTTTGACCGGGGGTACCCCGTGGGTGGAGTTATTTAGTTGAATAGAGCTGTTTTGGCGGGCGCTTTTTAAGATGACAGTGACATCTTGGGGGGTTTGAGCTTCGAATTTAACTGGAGCTCGGCAAACAACAGACATTTACCCGAGATATAGGAGATAGAGAGAAACAAAACAATGTCAACCAGCTTGATATGCATTGAAGATAAGATAGAAGGCTATTTCTTCACCCATGATTACTACTGGCTAGTAACTAACGTAATCCAAAAGTGAGTCAGCCATCGAATCTCCAGCAACCCCCTTCGAACTCTTTATAATTAAGGCCACTTCAAACCGCAAGAATGCCGCCAATTCACAAACGAAAATACAAAGCCTCTAGAGAGAGACATAGTCACTGCTCTTAAAATGTAACAAATAACTTCAATTCGTGAGGCTGCTCACTTATATGAGATATCTCACTCTGCTTTTCCAGACCGACTTAAATGGCCAGCCAGTCTTCAAGAGCCAAATTTACGCGCAAATTCCACGTAATGAATGGCTTGTTGAATGAATGCATGCTAAACAAGCAATACCCGCATTTGTGGAGAATATGACTAATTATCTTCTTGTCAACTGTTCTCAAGCTTCAATACGGTTATTCTTACTGTTGTAATCATGACTGGTTTCATTGAAAAATAGTTCCAATCAGCTTCTACGATGCTCTGTATAAAAAACTGCATCATTCATATGGAAACAAATATGCAAGCTTTTTTCCTCGGTGTGTATATATGTACCCTATATATCTTCTAAGCAACACTAAATGCCAGGCGTTCAAAATGCAAGAAGAAAGGTTGTGTGTAAATAGGCGATGGCAGAAGCAAAAGGAAGAGTACAAAAAGGGGGAAGGGGGGGGGGGGGAATATAGAATCATGTAAACTGTACATTCATTTTAAGAAATCGCTGTAAATTTTATGACCGATCATTCATTTCAGAGTTACGGGAAGGGAGGCCTTCGCCTTCTCCGCCGCTTTCTCTGCCGCCTTGTTAGCAGCTCTTTGGAGTCTGGCCTTCTTGATCTTTTGGACATATGCAAAGAAGAAGATGAAGAGCAGTTCAACCCTATGTGATATCAAAACATTAGATTGCTAAATTGATCCGAGAAGAATTACCTGGGTTGGAGGATAGAGGAGGAAGTAGTTCATACCGTTCCTTCGTCATCATCAAAAATCCCTGAACAAGGAGCCCCTTCAGTATCTGAGGGCCGATGCCTTTGAACAATGCCAGTGGCCCCTCGTGCTCGATGATATACTTCATTACTTCACCGAAGCTTTTGAAGGGCTTGCCCTGGCGGACCGGGGGTGGTCGGGATTGGAGTCCGACCTTGGCCACGATCAACGGCTGCGTGACAACGGTCGCGAGAGCCTTGGAGGCGGCGCCCAACACTGTCATTCGCACAAAACGTCAGCACTTTATTTTATTTGTTGATATCGGCGGCGAAACTACTGCTATGTGAGGGGGCATAGGGTCATATTCCGAACTAACCGAAAGCTTCCCATGGCTGCAGATTTTCTTTCCCGGAGAACAGGACGTCCTTTAATCTCTCATATGCTCCGTATGTGATGGCCGGATTGACCACGAGCACCAGACTGGCCTTGAGTCCTCTCCACAGCCCACTCCAGCCATCTTCACTGTTGATAACTTCTCTTCCGGTGTCGATCAGACCTTTCTTCTCCCCCTTGGCCTGCGTCTGTTGCCTGGTGGTAATAACCGCGACGGGGATTGTGAAGAGTTGCGCGATGGCACCCGCAACGGCCCCGAGAGTAAGTTCCATGGCTGTGCCTGGATGTTGCTTCCCGCGGGACGAAGAGGTGTACAGCGTGCGCACAATCGTATACCAGTAGAAGTACGCGAAATTGGTTGAGGCTACGCCGAGAAGGGAGCCACTGATGCCGGTATAGAGGCCCTGCATACCCTCATCCGCGATGATTTTGTGAATTGCATCCAGAGTGGAATCATAGTGGACTGTTTCGCCCGGAACGTGGCCGTTTTCGGTCTTTGAAGATTTAACCTGGACTTGAAGCCGGGTTTTCGCTCTGTTTTCACATCACATATTAGCTCCTGCGTTGTTCCTTTTCATTTCTGCACCCCCTCCCGGGTCTTCTCTTTCTACGGATTTGTTCGAGGTCTCAAGAGGGGCTCACATGTCCAATGGATATAACAGAGCATTCGCCAATACCGCACCTGTAGCCCCTGATATTGCGCTTTGCAGGGGCGACAGACGCATATGCTTCGACTGACCGGCCATTAGGCCAAAGGGAAAAGGATCGACTTTCGCTAGTCGATGAGTTTTGGCAATCTTTCTTCCCTTCTTCTTCTTCTTCTTCTTCTTCTTCTTCTTGGGGGGGTGGAATTATTTCTGGAAGCGCGGGGAGAGAGAGCGAGGGCGGACAACCGGGCAACCGGGGCCAAAACCCCCGAGTCAACGAAAAGGAAAAGGTAACTAACTACCCGCCTAACGCCGTCTGTTCTCGAAGAACGAATTCAAAAAAAGCAAAGCCAAAAGGAGAGGAGAATAATACAAGAAGGATTGTCCGAGGGAGACGAAGAAGCTACGAAGTCTCCGTTTTGTTGTTATCCATTTCGCCTTTCTGCGGCTGCTTTTGGCTGGGTTTCCCTTCCAGCGCTTGAGCCGAGGCATTCCAGTTCAAGTGGGGCCGATGCATGCTGTGGGAAGGGGAGAAAGCTCCCAAACAAAAACAAAAACTTAGATGTTGATGCAATTTCCCACCTGAACTCGCTCAGATAACTAACCAGTTAATTGAGAATGATCTAATTTATTTGGTTGACTACCGCCCGTTGACCACAGACAGACAGCATTTCTGTTCGATCTTTCTGCTTTATTCTGTTTTTCCTTCGTCTTCTTTCCCTCTCGCCACGCAAAGCTTGTAAAATTGCCCCCTCCCCCGGGGCTCGGCTCTCCAGTTTCTTCTCACTCTGCTATGAAATTTGGGGCCCGGGACGAAGTAACTCGGTGGCTTCGCAGGAACCGCTCAACTCACCGCGATATGCCCGGAGAATTTTACGTTTCAAGTTGCAGCTGACCATTGCCCAGTCTCCAGAGCTATTCGAAAACACTTTGCCAACTTGCTCAGGGTTTGGAAGAAATGCCAGCTAGCTTTCTGCGGCGTTGAAATTTATCCCCGGGAGGCGAGGCCGGAGGGGGCGCCAAAGGAGAAAAGCCGAAGAATGTGTATGCTCTGTTCAGTTAACTACAGGCAGGCTGCTGTGGCACTCTCATTAAAACAAAGCCCATACATTCCTCCAAAGATACTGGCAAACTTCATGCAACAGCGAGGATTCTGCTGTCCCTGCTGAAAGTAGGGGAAATGTCAACCATCCTCGTCGTTCTTTAACAGTCGAGTAGTTAAATCACTCGCTCAGTTAGGCCTGAGCCCTTATTCTTCTGGATCGAAGGGCTGCAACCAACTGTCCAACCAACCGCCTGCGCTGGCAAAGTAACTCGGAACTAGATATTCAACTTGTAGCAACGCCCCCCCCCCCCAAATCCCCGCTTCTCCCTCGCATTACATTTATTTCAAATAAGAGATAGATAATAGAACTATGCTGCCAATCCCTGGTTCGGAAAAGAAATAATTTTTTTTGAAGGCAATAACTGGCCACCTCGGATGTCGGAGTCTCGGGCATTGTGCGGGCTTGACCTGGACGTCGTTGGATTTCCTTCAGGGTCGTTTTGTTGTCCTTGAGGAACCTGGTTGCAACTCCTCTTGCAGCTGATCGTCAGCTTAGGCAAAATCGATCCTAAACAGAAACCCTAAATCACCAGCCGCAGCACCCATTCATCCTAGTGTTGCCGCAACTAAGACCAACAACCACCCACTCCGCCCCAGAGTTCTGACCCAGCAACACACTCAAACCCCGCTTGGCTCAGTTATCTATGACAGTTGGCGGTATGCCTTATCGTGATCGTCACCACTCTCTTGCTGTCTTATTGGTGCTTCCTCAACGACCAGAATCGTTCAGGGCATCTTTGACCAAGCAGACAGACACCTGCCTGCCAGGGCTTGTTGTTGTCTTCTTGGGCGGAGACGGGGTTTTTGATTGTATCTGTCCTTTCGCGTCCGGGAATCGCCATGTCCCAGTCATCATCGACGGTGGGAGAGCTCGAGATTCAGGCACAGGTAATATCCACCAATGACATATTATTATATGTTATGTTGTTACTGTCGCGGAAAAATTTCCCTAGACTGACACCTTGAACAGAAGGCGGAAAATGATATGTCTGCTGCAGAGACGCAGAGCTCAGCTCTAGATGCCGCAATCAGCGCTGTTGAGAGTTACCTGGGTGCCCTCAAGTTGGCTAGTTCTCCCAGTGAGAGACAACGACTGGATGCCAAGTGCAAGGAGCTCCTTGGAATGGCTGAAGATATTAAAAGGTCCAAGTCGTGGTGTCAAGACCCGTCACGCGACAACAACGGCAGCAGTGCCAGTGCCAGTGCCAGTGCCAGCAAGAGGAAGAGCAGTAATGTGAAGCCCAACCTTCGAGAGCCAGTCTCGCAACGGCAGCTGTCGAAGAGAGAGCAGATCATTCTTCTCGAAGACTCGAAGCTCAATGGATTTGTCTTCCCTCCATGGCAGAGTGTGCCTGACCCAAGGGAATTCGAATTAGATGAAAGTGGTCAGCTATTTACGTATGTATAGTTGGGAGGTTATAGAGTTTTCTCCCCCAGATAGTTAGGTCAGGTCTGACGCGAGGATAGGGACCAATGTGATCTCCGACTCTCCAATTTGCAGCTACAGCATTATAACGGCTGGAAACGCGCTTCAGAAAGGTCAGCCGCTAGAGTGCCATTGGATCGTCGGCGGAGTCCCAACCAGCCGTTGGAAGACGCGAAGTCCATTGATCTAGTACAAGACGTTACGACGGATTGCTCAGTTGTTGCCAGTCTTTGTGCTGTGATCTCACAGGTGGAAAGAGGATATTCGAAGGTCTGGCTAACCTTGTCGCGTCCATCAATATTTACTGTATGTATAATAGAAGTTTGCGTTGACAAAAGAGGTCCACAGGTCTACGCCATTAAGTTTTATCCGTCAGAGAAAGAAACCTTACGCCCAAAGCCGTCCAAGTCCGGGAAGTACATATTCCGAATGCACTTCAATGGATGTTACCGAAAGGTTGTAGTTGATAACCGCCTTCCCTCATCCAAAACCTCAAGGTTCCTTCATGTCACCGACAGGAATGACCCTGAGCTCCTATGGCCGGCCCTGGTTGAGAAGGCGTATTTAAAACTTAGGGGAGGCTACGATTTCCCAGGAAGTAATTCTGGGACCGATCTATGGATTCTGACTGGTTGGATCCCGGAGCAAATATTTCTCCATGAAGCGGATATGATCCCTGGGCAGCTTTGGACACGACTCTTCAATGCATTCAGCTATGGCGATGTATTAATCACTGCTGGCACCGGGGCGTTTACTGAGCTGGAAGAAAAGGAACTCGGCATAATCGGCATGCATGACTATGCAATTCTTGACATGAAGGAAAACAATGGCCGTCGCCAATTCCTCGTAAAGAATCCTTGGGCAGCAGGTACCGTTTGGGAAGGGATTGGGCAGTCTGAGCCCCCTGCTGCAGGGGAGTGTGATAACAACAACAGCAGCAGCAGCAACAACAACAACAACAACAACAACAATAATAATAATAATAATGGGAGGCAGAGGCGCAATTATCCCATGTCTCCCGGAACATTCTGGACAGACTGTGATAAATTGCTTCAGAATTTCGAATGCCTATATTTGAACTGGAATCCGGTCCTCTTCTCCTTTCGCCAGGATATCTATTTTACCTGGGATCTTTATGCTGGTAGATCGGGTCCCGGCTGCTTCGAGAGAAACCCACAGCTCTCTGTAAGTTCCAAGTCAGGTGGCTCTGTCTGGCTGTTATTGAGTCGGCATTTCGCGACCGATGATTATCTTCTCTTCAGACACCAATTTGGTGACATATCGAAGGGAAAGGTTGAGCATGGCTTCACTAGCCTCTGGGTTTTCAATAATGACGGCCAGAAGGTTTCCTTAAGTGAGGGTGTTCTCCATCGCGCTCCCTTTGTCGATTCGCCCAACACCCTGATGAAATTTGAGATGCCCCCCAACACTACCTATACTGTGGTGGTTGCAGAGCAGTCTCTGCGGAGGGCAACTCGTAACTTCTCTCTATCTGGTTTCTCAACTGGTTCGTTGACCATTTCACGCGCTTCTGACAAATACATATATGTTCAGTCCCTAGAGACTGCTTGGACAAAATCAACAGCCGGAGGCAACTTGGAGTCGGGGCGATACCCAACAAATCCGCAATTTAAGATCGAGACCATAGACACATGTGACATTGCTGTACTGCTGGAGACGCGGGATCCCGAACTCGCTACGCACGTCAAGGTAGTGTGGTCAGGAGGCAAGCGTGTGTCCACCGTCAAGTCTCGGGACGTTGCCTTTGCCAGCGGAGATTATCGCCGTGGTAGCTCTTTGGCTGAATACGTTCGCTTGCCCAAAGGATCATACACCGCTGTCTGCTCAACGTTTGCTCCCGACCAGGTCGGGAAGTTTACGTTGTGGGTTAAATCGACAAAGGAATGTGCGGTGTCGCTCTTACCACCGGAAGGAGCAGGGTGTTTAAGTGCCCTGTCCAACGTTGGCGAATTCCCACCGGGCACGGAGAGGATTCTTGCACCCATTACTTCATCGCGACTAACCAAGGCTAAAGCGATCGCCAGGTTCAAGGGCTCATGGATAGGATCTCGGATTGTGGCGCCTTCTCCGATTCTGATGTCTATTGAACTGGGCCAGGGCCCTTATAAGAAGGTATTTGAATTCTCTAACGATGGGCATTTTAGTGATGCCGCCTCTGGAGTACGGATCGAGGAATTTGATATGCAACCCCTTTTCAACCAATTGGGGGGACTGTGGCTTGTTGTGGAACGCGTTGGGGGTCCTGAGGGTGAAGTCTATGACACCCTTCAGGTGGAGATTTTGTCGGAGGATCGGGTTGAGATTGGCGCATGGGGAGTTGGTGGAGGTTGAGTTAAGAGGTTCTGTTGAGTTCATTGCGTTCATTGCCCCTCCATACATGTATCTAGAGTATCTCGTTGGCTGAGGAGATGGACGATGGTCATTGGTTATATTCGGCAATTTGGATGGTGAGAGCTCAACGGGGGCAGCGTTTTGGTTATCATTTCGCAAAGTGGCAAATGGAGTCCTGGCTTCCATGAAATGCATAGCGGGATATTGCTGGAGCTAGATACCATTTCACTTTTAACTGAAGCAATTGGGATTTTTCATCTTGGCTATTTACTCTCTGCCACAGCTCCAGTTACCCCCATGGATATTATGATAATACGTGCAACACATAGTTATCAATCCTCGATTAGGCAATGTTCTAGAAGCCCTGTATGCAGCTGCCGTCAGAGCGCTGACTAAGCTGTCGACAAGTCACGTCATTCTTTCCCACGACGCCGGGATGCAAACGCGGGGCACCAACAGCTCTCCATATTCCCAACCCATGTTTCATGTTCCATATTGCAGCCCAGACAGCTATCCGCTACGTCGACCCGCCAAAGAGATAGATCCACCCGTTAGCAGCTGCATTCAAAGCTAGGGCGAGATGGCTGCCAATATACCCGCGAAGCTGAAAGCTGCAGACATCACCCGTTTTGTCACTCGGGCGTCGCAGCTCGAGAAAGCAAGGCCCGTGATATCATACTGGTGTATGTTTACACCCCCCCCCACCCCAACGGACTGTTTTGACAATAATCGCGGGGGACGAGAGCGGGAAGGATGCTGATATTTGAGGATTCTACCTATAGGCAACTACTGGGCTGTGAACCAGATATTATCCAAGGGCCTGCACAACTCAGATAGCGAATGTTTAAGATACACAACGGAGCTTATGGATAAGCTGGAGAAGGTTTGTTGTTGGCTTGTCTCGTTCATTCTGCTTTCTATATGTACTCTGCGTAGCATGTCGTTGAGGCTAACTTGATTTGCAAATGCCTCCTCTAGTTTAAATCTCAACATGTTGACGACGATACTGTTACAGATGATGCCGCCGGACAAGCCTATGTGGAACAATTCGGATTAGAGACCTTCCAGCGGGCTGACAACGCTGTTCGGGCCAACAGGGCATCATTGTTCGCTAGTGAACCTGCATCCTAACTGCTCTGTATACGGCTTTCGCTAACTCCTAGCCAGACAAACTGCGGATACCTTCCAAGCTGCGGCAACCTTTCTAGAACTATGCCAGATATGGGGACCGGCTGAGCCGGAAATAGCTACCAAGATTAAGTTTGCGAAATACCATGCCTTGCGCATTGCCAAAGCACTTAAAGCCGGAGAGGACCCGAACTTATCAAACCCATCAAGGGAAGAGGAAGAGATGCCAAATGACGTACCTAGCTTGGATCCCAATGACCCGGAGGTTCAAGCTCTAAATAACCCGTCATCGCAGTCAGCACCAGAAGTAAAATTGCGACAACCATCCGTAGAAGATGTTACAGACGAATTTTACAATGAGGAAAAAAGATTAGCGCACCAGTCCTCTCTGAACGAATCCCTCCATCCATCCAGAGCCTCCTCGGTTCCCCCCTTCCGACGACCGGAATCAGGCATTGTCACAGCTGCATCCAGTACAGGACTTCCAAGCCCACCTTCGTACTCAGCTGGTATGATGGACCTAAGCCCTGACGCGCGCCAGCGCCCTTCACACCTCTCTCAAGCATATGTTCCTGACCTTCCTGCAGCCCCCTCCGACTTCCCCTCACCCGCGTCAAGCTCCCAGGACCTCCCCGCAACAGGTACAGGAGGCTTTTCTGAGCGAAGAACTTCCCTAAGCACCTTCCAATCATTCCCGGCTCCAACAACGCAACCTTCAACGGACATTCCTGGACCCGCAATGGGATCCCCACCTCCCTCTGGATTTGATGGATGGATGCGGCAGGCGCCTCCAACCACTGCTCCACCCACTAGTATCCAGCCCACAAAACCTGTGCAGGGCGCAAGCTCGTACCCCAACCAGCCACCAGCCCATGGAGTAGATGAGGACGCAATTGCAAAGGCGCAAAAGCATGCCCGATGGGCTGTGTCAGCGCTGAATTTTGATGATGTGCAGACCGCAATTAAGGAGTTGACGAATGCACTGAATATGTTGGGTTCTAAGTGATTTTGTTTTGATTTTGTTGTTCCTCTCCTCTTCTTCGCTTTCTATTTGTCTTTTTTTTTTTTTTTTTTTTTTTTTTTTTTTTTTTTTTGTGTGTGTGTGTGTGTGTGTTTGGAGCTTCGCGTTTATCCAGTGCTAGCTGAGGAAGATAAGATTTTATTAGGGGCTATATCTTTTCCCACCTATTGTGCTTATCCTTAGGGAAATGAAGCATAGTAAGGAGTCAATTTTCTTTGCCTTGAAAATTGAAAGTCGGCAAAGGCAAAGCCTTAAGGTGCTTAAATTACGTACCGTTTGAGGCCAATTATCAGGGTCCATGCCAGCTTGTGCCTCTTCCCTTCACATTGACCGCACATCATGCCGGAATTGGAATTTTCCCGGAGCCAGGGGAGGGGCATAGCTGGACAGGGGAGTTTTAAAATAAGAAAATATCCTCATAAGCACGGTTGAGGCTGTATGGATCAACTTTGGGATGATCTGGAACTGCGAACTGGGATAGTTTGCCCTCATTCTGTTATTTTCGATATTTTGTGCATGGAACAGGCTTTGTCAGTATAAACGCCAATTCAATGACATACGTTTACAGCTATTATTATGCAGACGTCCAAGGGGAAGTACGTCAAGTGTTGGAAATGTAGCATAAAATTTGCGATCATCATCTCTTCTCCTCTGCTACATCATTTCGAAGATTTTCAGATACACGCACTGACTCCGATGGCGAAGTCTTGAAAGGTGACGAGTAGGGGACGGACTGACGGTGATAGAAGCGACGAGAACACAAACACCAGCTCCTCCTGTATCCTGTACAGCCAACCACCGGCGAAACCGCCTCAGCCTCAGCCTTTTCCGGGGTAAAGGTGAGGGAGGGGCTAAAACCTCTGAAGCAGAAGTTCTGCATAACAGGATATGCCGCGCATGGCGTCTTTTTATCCTTAGCTTGCAACATCCCCCGCCCCGCCTTTCTCTCTCACCCCTTTCCACAACTTCACCCATATTCGGACTCGCACATGTCCTTCTACCCTGTGAATATCATTAACGAACTCTGTTTCCATTCCGCGTCTGCATACATACATGGGGATACAGTTGCGACTAGGTAAGTATGTCTGGGTATCCTATTTAGGAAGGGTATGTGTGAATGCATATATGCGGGCGTAGGGGGATGGAGGTATGGGTTTATGGAGGTCGGTGGGAAGTATGTAACATTGGAGACGCTACTTCGTATTCATGCAAATGCTCTTTGGCAGGTTCCAGGAGCGCATTAAAGCTGACGTCTAAGCCGACAGTTTATTTCACGGACGCATCCAATATCCGGGTGTGAAGTTGGTCCCCATGGGACATGAGAAAACAGAAGAGGAATTGGAGACCAATCATGCTCGTACCAACTACGAGTCCGCATCTATTTCAACCTTTGAAAAACAGCAGCAGCATTGATATTAATATCAAATGGGTGGTGTTCTGTTCTTTCCGGCAAGCCGCCATGGTAGGCTACATGTAGATCACTCCTCCACGCCCCCGACGAGGAGCCAATGCAGACCAAAAGTATAAAAGAAAGAAAGGCACTGCCAGACACCAGCCAGGATCATATTTTGAGAGATTCTCCATGCTAGGGAGCCTCTTCCGATCAACGATGCCCCACAGAGCGGGCCATGAGAAAAGCAGTTAAGCCGACTTCTACGCCAACCTAGCGTTGAAGAAACTGCAAGTATTTATGGACGAAGGGAGATATCAAGGCAATGTCCGAACGCAGGGTTGTTTGGTTGCTGACATGCATATGAGGCTCTCCGGGGGGTGACACTGACCAGGCGTGTGAGTGGTTGAAGGGGTGGAACTTGGTGAAGATAAGATTCAGTTTCTCACAGTCAATCCCCTTCCGACCAGGTCAGCCCAGCTGCATATCGAGAATTCCCCCTTGAGATGAAGGAGAAACTGGGAGAGGGGATCCGATGACATGCATCATTCAATGAATATCTGAATCTACCCTTGGAAAAACAGGAATCGAGAAAAAACTCATTATTGGGGGTTCCCTCTCGGTTTCTATTATTCTATCCCTAGCGAAAATCTTAAAAATAAAAATAAAGAAGTGGTGCATAAGGGAGGACGGAGTACGGAGTTGTGCATCCTTTTTGCGGTTCCCTGGATGTGTCCCCTCGGATCGCACCACCCTTGTCCCAGACTTCGACTGTCGCTGGGACCCCTCCCCCCCGGCTGTCCTCTTCACAATTTCCATGGTTTTGCGTACCCGGTGAGTAAGAATGGCGTTGGAAAATTTGGACACAGAGAGGTTCTGTTGAATAAATGGAAAAAGAGGCCGAAGACAAGGAGAGAGGGGGGGTTGTCGGCTGTCCGTCGTGTATCAATTGTGACCAGCATTCTGAAACCCTCTGATTATTTAGTTTTTTTTCTTTTCTTTTTCTTATTTGCGAAGAAGGGAAAAAGAAGAATGATCCATCCTCTCACCTGCAGGCTGCAGGGAAATTAATTAGACAATAGTGAGCTAGTTGGGTCGGTTGTATTACCCAACCAGCGCGAATGGATGACTTCAGGATGATGAAGGTTGGATGACTTCCAGGGATAAGGCTGGCTTTCTTTCTTTTTTTTTTTTTTTTTTTTTTTTTTTGCAATTCTTACGGAGTATTATTTATTGCCGTGTGATGCTTTTCAATAACGAATCCTTTGGACAAGAAAGAAACAATGCAATGTGCAATACGGAGTACACTGCCGTTGTTAATGGGATGTTCCTCAAATTATTTATTTCATTCCTGCAGAATGGGTCACCTGGTGTGTTTCGAAGGTCACTGGTACCTGGTGATCATGGCCGGGACCATGGCGATCTCCGCAAAATTGTGGTTGGGCCATAACATTGGTGTACCTGATACCTGCGATCGGGCGGTTGGGCTGACAAGTGAACGTGGAGAAAATTCGGTGGAGGAGAGAAAATAACGAAATCAAGAAAAAGTGGAATTAACTAGCAAAATAAACCCAAAAAACACACATTGGAGCAGATATCTGTCTTTCAGGAAATTAATTAATCGAAAACAGTTTTGTGTACATGCGTACATGCGTACATGCGTACATGCGTACATGGCGCACATAGTTGTTTCGCCGTTTCAGCCGGAACAAAATGATGGATTATTATATTCAAATATCAAATAGCTAACAAGTTATCAACAAAATATGAATAAAATGGGTTCCTGCATCTTCTTTAATCAGTTTCCGGTCTGACAGACTCCTCATCATTGATTGTAATAATCAGAATGAATGCCGCAGACAGTAACTAATCGCTGACCTCTCCTTAGACTTCCGCCTATGCGATTCTAGTCGAATTTAGGACGAGCCTTGTCCTGATTCTTCTTCTTCTTCTTCTTCTTCTTCTTCTTCTTCTTCTTCTCTCTCTCTCTTTCATCATTTTCGCTTCTTCTTCTGATTCGGCTTCTGCCGCTTCTTCTTTTCTCGCACAGTTAACTTCCGGCCCGCCCGCTATTGACTCACCAACCCCTTGCGTTCTCTATATACCTTCTCTCACCTCTCCTTAATTAATTCAAGTGGCCCCGAGAAGGCTGGTCCGTCTCTGCTTCGATATATCCACCTACCTAGGTGTGTCTCTCCAATCGTAATTCACCCGTCCGGGGCAGATAAATCAACTCCCTACTGCGTATTTGCTCACCCAGCAAACACCACCACGAACATCTCTACACTTAAGCTAGAGACTCAGCCAACCTGTTAGCCTGCAAGCTGTGCACTGCGCTTTAAAATTAGCACCCTCCTTTTCACACACACACACACTCTCTCTCTCTCTCTCTCTCTCTCTCTCTCTCTCTCTCTCTCTCTCCCTCTGTCCAGCGTGTCCGAAAGGGATCGACATCGACTCTATTCCCGGCCGACAGCACGACTTCCACTCACCAACCCATGCCCTGACTGGAGCATATCTACGCTTTATCCGAAAGTTACATCCGCCCTATTCAACGGATAACGCACGTTGACTGGACGGGTTCGTTGGCGTATATCTCCTCCCCTCTTTCTCTCCCGATTATTATTTCCCGTTCGACGACACCCCCGTTGAACCACGATGTCCGGGGAGGCTAGCAAGCCTGCCATCTTGATCGTTGGAGGCCTAGGTACGATAAACATTTCCCTCGACCAGAAAACTTCCATGTCGACATCCAGCTGGTACCCCCTTTATTTTTTTATTTTTTATTTTTTATTTTTTATTTTTTATTTTTTTGGGGGGGAGGGGGGGAGGGGGGAGACTGACTCGATGCGTGAAACGAACCACAGGCTTCCTTGGCCGTTTTCTTGCCCTCTTTATCCATGAGAACAACCTCGCTTCAGAGGTGCGGATTGTCGATAAATTGCTTCCTCAGTTGGCCTGGTTGACTCCTGAGTTCAACGTCGCCTGCTCCCAGGACAAATTTGTTCAGGCAGATGCAAGTCGTGAGCGTACGTAAACCCCATTTCTCATTTCATTTTTCATTATTGATTTTTATTTTATTTTGCTCCACTCCCCCACATTTGTATATTTCCGTCTCTGTTCCCTAGCCTTTCATCTGACTTATTTACGCCCCGCTCTTGGCGCTGTAGAATCATTTCCTCGAATCTTCGACCGTGCGAACGGTGCCCAGTTCGACTATGTAATCAACTGCGGGGGTGAGTCCCGCATGTCTCAACCAGAAGACGTATACCGACTGCGAAGTCATGCCCTCTCAGTTGCCCTAGGCAAAGAGGCTGCCCGTCGAGGAGTTCGTGCCTTTATCGAATGCTCCACAGCCACCGTGTACAAGAGTGACCGCGAGCAGTGCAAGGAAGATGCAAAGATTAAGCCATGGTTCGCATTGTCGAAATGGAAATACCAGGCAGAGGAAGACCTGCGGAAAATCCCTGGCTTGAATCTTTGCATTCTCAGATTCCCGCATGTCTACGGGGAGTATGACAGGGGCTTGTTGACCACGGTCATTTGCATGGGAAGGGCATACATGGAGCTGAACAAGCCAATCTCCTTCCTAAAGACTGGAAGTCAACCCATGAACACAGTGTACGTCAAAGATGCAGCCCGCGCATTGTGGAGAGCTGCAGAGTGGCGAGCAAACAAAGGTCCCAGTACAAGCGGCGATCCGGTCGTTTTCAACATTGTAGACCACAACAATACCACAAAGGGTGATCTTGCCGAAGGTCTCAAAAAGGCCTTTGGCATCGAGTACTCCTTTGTCGGCACGATGATGACTCAAGTGGTGAACTTGAATCTAGATGAAATTATCGATGAAATGAACGAGGAATGTCTACAAATATGGGCAGAGCTTCTGAATGAGAAACAGATCGAAAGACCGGGACCGATAAGTCCCTTCCTAGAGCGCGATGCTATCAAGGATGGCGACCTCTTAATTGACGGATCACTGTTCGAGCAGACGACCGGTTTTACGTACGATAGGCCAACACTTGCTAAAGATTGGATCCAACCTGTCGTCGAAAGTTTCAAGCGACTAGGATGGTGGCCTTAAGCTCCAGAACTTTGTTTTTGTTTTGAATCAAATATTTAACAATCAAAAATTCAAAAAATCCATGTTTCGGAAACCCTTCTTTCGTGAGGGGCGAACCATTCTATCGCATTTACGGTACGGCAAACGATGGGGCCATATACTTTCTTAGTACCTTTCTTCTCACCTTTTTCTCTTCAAAAACATTTTGGGAAATAAACAAAAGTGTCCCTCCAGAAATTCATTTTCATATTTTTCCCTTTTAATTCTGATCACTCTTTCGACCTGGAGAGGCAATTTCTTTCCTCTAAGTATTTCCGGGGCATTCCTTTTGAGCACATTGTCGAACTACAGGCTACCTATAGGTATAGTCCATGTGTGTTTTCTTCTCTTTCCTGCTGCTTTTGCACCATCGTCACTCAGTATTGTAATATAATGCACATATATATGTCTTTTTTACTGTGTTTTATTAATATTTTTTATCTATTATTATTATTATTATTATTATTATTATTATTATTATTATTATTATTATTATTATTATTATTATTATTATTATTATTATTATTATTATTATTATTATTATTATTATTATTATTATTATTATTATTATTATTATTTATTAACTAACCAACCATTATTTTATCTTCTTACTAATATCTATCCATTATGCTCCTGATCAAGCCCTGTTTCATTTCATGTACAGGAATAAACGGGTGCTGGAATAACCCCACTCTACTTACGGAGATATGTCAAGATCTAGAGAGTGGGTCGAAGCCGAACATAATCCGGAGAAAACAAAGCACACTCGAAGAAGAACCCATTGTCGGATAGAGCCATGGGTCTTATTGGACCAACCCATGGCTCTTTATGAATGGAGTGGACCTTGCACATCAGTATAGATCGGCATATGAGACTCATAGAATCACATATAGAAACTGGTTAGCAATTCTATATTGGATAATTGACCACGCAGTTGTCAATTCTTATATTCTCCATAAGATGAAGGCTTCTCACCCGCTAAGTCATGCTGCATTCCGTGAGAAGCTCTCTATCTTCAACTCTTTAAGTTCTCATCCACACTACCACCCGAACGATTGAATTCCACCCTAAAACATGAGCGAATTTCTCTTCCAACTATGCGAACTTGTGCCTGGTGTCAATACAAAAAACGACAGAGTCAGCGGAATCACAAACGGCTTCCACAATCAATGCGTGGCTGTTCTACATGTCAAAATACTCCCCTCTTGCGTGAAAGGTCGATGCTTGGGCAGAATTCCATTCAATTAAACTAAATGAGGGTTTAGCTCAAATAGATTACATAGATTACACCAATACAGCTAAATACTGCGGATCCTGGTTTAGAATCAATTAGATCACTATATTTAATACACTAATATACACACTAAAAAACTGTACTCAAAATTGCAAGTCGCCAGATGAAGGAGATAAAGGTTGGAATTTCTTGGGCTACCTTATAGATTTGGATGGAAACTCACCAGCGTCCTTTTCTTCTCATGCGATGGTGCTTGGAAAGGAGCGTCGCCGTCATCCATCCCATACCTTTCTCTCCGCTCCAATCTTCTTTTTCGATTCATGCTTGATTTATGAATGCTGATGTTCCATGTTGAGCTAGCCCAAAAGTTGAGTTAAGTTGGAGCTGTGATTCTGGGATTATGTAGGAGCATGCAGAGGAGAGAGGCGAACGGAGGCGAAGATGAAGATGGATCGGGTACGCCTCCGGATTATATCCTAGTTGACTTTGGCTAGTTATTGGATTCGTTGTCCCAATAAATAGTTATCGAGGGTTTTTTTTTTTTTTTTTTTTTCACCAAAATTACTCATCGACAATCATTTCAGCTTCAGGATGATTTCGGAGGAACATAAATTTTCGCGATTCGAGATGGGATCCTGCAGAAGGACGAAGTTGAGGACGCAGGTTACAGGTTACAGGTTACAGGTGTGGAACGCGGCGGAACCCGTCTGGCTCCTTTTCCTATGCCAAATTAAATCCAATTCCACAACAACTGCTTGGAAATGTTGTTGTATTTCAGCGATGAATATTCACGGTGATTTTCCGGTACTGACGAATGAGGCTGTAGGAAAGTGAAGAGCGATGTGATACCGTGAGAAAAGTTTGCGCAACCTATCAGAATATGATTTGGCCCATATATATTTTTACTAAGTATGGGTGTGGCCCGATCACCCTCGCTGTCCTACAAACTATACCTGGTGGTGACAGTTTCGCGGTGATTCCGCCTCTTCATTCAACATTCTTCACTTTGAAAAATCAAGTTTGTGATTCATCTGGTGTTGCTTGCTGCCTGTTCAAGCCCAAGACTAAGGATAACCACGGTAGATATACACTAAAGAGACGCTCTTCACAGTTGATTTTTCTCACTGATGTGACGTCTCAAGGTCCTTGAAATGCTGCATCTTATCCAATGACCTTCTGTTAATTTTCGAGGTTCGTATTGATATGCTACATTTCTGCTGGGTTTCTCTCATGATAATGCCGAATCCTTAACTAAAAAATTAGGGGAATCCTAGGATTTCAAACTCGAAGGACATCCCTCCACGCCACATCCGGATAGTTGGTGATACTGATGCTTTCGATGCGATTCGTGCTATCAAGAACCGGCCTATGGAGTTGTGGATTGGGCAAGAAATGCCCTCGCCGGATGGTCCTGAATCATCGGCACGAACTTTAAATATGGTAGATTCTTTCATAAATAGTTAGTTCTACTCTCAGTTACATAGTTTTGGAATTTTGTACCCCTCCCTTTCCTCTTGCCCCTCGATCCATGTTCTCTCAGCTGTTTAGAATAGCTGTGCTGTTTGACGGTGACTGTCAATCCTTTAACTACCTTTGCGTTGGAGTGACCAATATATATAGCCTTGGGCGATCGCAATCCTATGTGACAGCAGAATTCAGAAAGTGAACCGACAATTTCGAGCATAAGGGTACATTTTACACCCGTAACAACTGCGTTTCCCCTTTGACCACCGCATTTTCTCCTATCCGGAGCCGTCAATCCACACGAGCAATTATGACGGAAGTGGACCCCACACATACATTGCCCTAGCTTCTTCGGAGAGCCGGACTCTTTCGGGAGGATCCGAGCAGTTTTGATTCGATTGTGTGTGACAATAAAAGGCGGAAAAGAGAGAGGAGGAAACGGAGAAACAGGTCGACGCTGCCGGCCACAAACAAGCAACCGTCTCGATATCAATCCGAAGGTCGCGTTATGACCATCACGAACCTTTGCACCAATCAACCAGAACCATCGTCATGCGAATCTAAATAAATTCTGGGTCTTCAATTTATCACTTACCTCACAGTGTTAACCCTCGTATACTTATACCTTCAAACCTTCAAGACAGCTAGCTTCTTAGTACACATTTCGCCTGATATCCTATCCCATTTTTTAACCCAATCTCACGACAGTGTGATCGCCACGGAGCTGATACCTCCTGGCTATGATTTAATGGCCACAAGGTCCATGACTTCATATAATCTACCCATCTATCTGGTGCGACAGTGATGTGACGTCCTCATGGAGGCCATATCTATGAGAGAGCGGCTGCAGCAATTCGCTGTTATCAGCAACTTCCATGTGTTTTTAAATCCAACTAACCAACCAAATCCGGCATCGGTCATTGGGAGCCGATCTACAGTTGTAAACTATAACTAACTAAAGCCTAGCTATACAAGATTGAAATAAATCACTTTTTGAAGTGGAAAATCTGGATCGAAATCTCAAGGCCGCGCGATTAGCAGTGGACGAGGTATATATATATACCAAGATCCCCACTTTCACCTAGGCTGGCTTAAACTTTCAAAATCTCAAAATTATCGGTTTCGTCGTTTACCTTCTATCTCTGGCATATCAACCTATTATGTCTTCTTTCCACAGAGTTCCCTTGGCTAATGGCCTCAACGGTAAACAGGAAGAGAACGCTATCGTTTTCCCTGAGCAATATGACCTTCCCACATGCTCAACACTGCAGAAGCTCTCCCCGTTGGATATGAATTTGCCAAGACTCTATGGTGTACGCTGGATCCTATGTTTCTTTCTCCTTGCTGATGTTGACAAAGCTTAAATGTGAGGATAGGCCTGCTTACTCCAGCGGTGGCATCTATTGAGAGATGGTTTTAACGGATTCCTTTTCGTCTAGATATGAGGGTCCAAACCTAGGTCTGGCGCATACTACTATTTCTGCCATTCTCTGGATTGCTGGTAACGTGGGTATCCGGGATAAGCCCTTTAACATGTTCTTATCCCAACGAAGTATTGATTCCAAATATTGGCTGCTTACCTGGTTGCACATGCAGGGACCAGAGTACGGAAGTGGCCCAAAGGACATTAGAAACCAGGTTGTAGATGGATGGGTTTGGGGGAGTTAAATTTCTTCACCACATCTCGCCCCAATCGCCTTGAGTTGCCACTCCAGCTAATCTCTCCCTAGCTCTAAAGATCTCAGCGGGATCCTACCATCGTATGCGGAGTTTAAAAAAAACACATTTCCCGCTTTCCAAATTCCAAACCGCTCAATTGGCCCCTGTAGCTGTCATACCTGAACCGTCACAGTCCGTTCTGGTAACGCAAGCGAATTTCATTGAAGAGGGGCCTTCTCCTAACCATTTGTGTTCACCACTCTATTTGCGAGAGTTTAGCTGTTGATACAATACTCGATACCTGGGCATATAACACATCTATAGCTTCAAGCGATGGTTCCACCTCGTTTAGTGTGTATGACCCGATTTCTAACGACCGTACACCCCTAATGACAGACTATCCAGTGGCGGATTTGGCCAGATTTCCTGAGTACATTCTCTAGCCCACATCCCTACAACCCCGCTTGTTGATGTACATGCAAATGCATACAATGTAGTCCGCAAACTCACCAATCAGCCCCAATGACATCCCGCATCTTCTATTTCTCACTTACATCACTCAAAGCCCTAAGAACTGCTGCATCCGCCTTCTTTACCAACGACGCCCTGTGTGCATTCCTTTGGCAGCATATGGCAGCATATGACTCGGGCACGAAACCTTACTGAGGTGGAAGATGCAGACACAAACGGAATCAGCAAAATAAAACCAAAAATGTTATCCCTTTTCTTCTCGGTCAACGTAAGGCGCCGTACGAGCACACCACTCCCACCCACCTACCTAGGCAACGCATTTCTGGCCGTGATCACGTAACGGCTTCCCATTTCCATTCTCACTGCTACTGATTCTGATTCTGGGCTCTGTCGCGCTGCAGCTGCCATACGCAGGTCGCTGAATACCATAAAATCTCCAAACCGCGTGCCGCTGACGATTGGTCTTGTCGACTCGCAGCCGAATCCCACTGATTACAAGTTCGCATATAGTGGCTTCCTTGGTCCGGATATTTCTGCGACGTCATGAGTGGACCTTGGGATTTATAGGCGCGGGTGGGGTCGTTTATTGGGCAAGGTGGAGTGTTTCAGGGTGCCTGGGGAACGGGGATATGGTCAAATTGCCGTCTTTCCCAGGACGAATGACGGTGGTTTGGAGGAAGAGGCTATGGAACGGCTAATGAGCGATGTGAATTTCATTGAGAGTGCGGAATTAAGGGAATAGATATGTGCGTAATTAGGTTGTTTTATTATATGTGATGACAGTGCGCAAAGATTGGTTTTAAGGATCTCAAACGACATATTCTTTTATATGACGATTTGATAATCTGTTCGAAACCCCAAGCCTTCAAACCAGATTTCGCCTTACTCATAATTTGCTATTTAGTTTAGCAATAGAAGGATCCTTTCTAACCGGTAGCCTCTAGCTATAGTCCTTTATGTGTATGTGATGGTGTGGATGGATTGACAGCCAGAAGAAAAGGGTTTATAAAGGGTGCACATGTGACCAACTCGCAAAGTCCAAATACTACCCTATTCAAAGAGTTAAATTCCACTAACAAAATCTTGTCTAATCAAGAAGACAATAGAGGGTAGGGGCAAGAAAGAAGTATAGGACAGGAGAAAGGAGCCTTTTAAGATTCAAAAAGGGTTTGTTGGTGTCCCGGGCAAAAGAGAAAAGTCAAATACTCCAGAAACCACCAGCGACAAGTCAAAGAGAATAGAATTCTGCTCCATACCGCGAGAATGTGCGACCGATAGACACAAATAACGTCACATGTAGTAATAACAACTAAAGAGAATTATAATAAAGGAGCAAACGCCAGCAACATAACAGTCAACTGCTTGGTTGACAGCGGGGGATAGAAAGCAGAGTCCTTACCTTTCTCTAAAAAATCCTTAATCAAAAATACATATAACCGGACAGGAAATTCTCTTTTCTGAGGTTCTAATTATTAAAATTCCCAATTTTCGTCCACGGACTTAATCGCCCAATCAAACTTTTCACGCAAGGTCTTCGAGAAGAACTTTTCCATAGGGACATTGAATTTCCTCGAAAATACCACGGTGAGACGAGGGTCGATATAATTCTTGTCAAAGGGTAAGAATATATATTGTACGGTAAGGTGCGAGAGAAAAAACGCAAAATAGTTTGAAAAACTTACAATTTTAGAAGTACCCAAGGCTACTTCTTTGTTGTTTTCCTTGTCCTCAGCCTGAAGGGACATATTTTCGATACGCTGTCCAAGCTTCAGGAGCTGGTTCTCCAGCTTCTCGACGGTGACTCCCTTTCCCTCCGGTACAACCTTCTTAGACTTGTTTTCCTTCTTGAACTTGGCCTCTAACTCATTCGCGGCTTCAAGGCGTTCCTCGAGCTCCTTTGCTTTCATTTCTTTCTCGCCTTCAGCAACGCGCTTCTCATTGTCTTTCTCGAACTTCTTTTTGATCTTTTGCCGTTGCTCTTCGACGAGGAAAGCTTGATGCTCTTTGATCCATTCTTGATCTAAACTTTCGTCGAGTTCAAAGTAGGCAGCGCCCTTCTTCTTCTTTAGCTTCGGGTCGAGGTCTAACATCATCTGCTTAAGGCGCCATTGTTGATACTTCAAACCTTTGATCTACAAATTGTTAGCCAAAGGACATTTTGGTTCCAAGTTGGTTGCGAACACACCCTATCACCAAGCTTTTCCATTTGAGTTGAATGGCTGGCGGTAACGGTACGCTTATGGTTACAAAGAATGGCAACTTGTCTATTCGCATCGTTGTAATCTTTAATCTTCTCTGCGATTGTGCCAGTTGACTTCATTCCTTTAAGAAGTGTAGCCATTGTGTAAGACGCGTTGTATGTACGGAAAACCTTCGCGGTAAGACCCGGCATATAGTTGGAAAGATGCTTATTGAGCGCGGAAGTCTGAAGAAAATGTTAAATCCAAGCTCTTAAAAATCGACGTTTGGATACTTACCGTTAAGCGGTCGAATATTTCATCCCCTTCTTTCTTTGGCGGCTTCTTAAAAATTTTGAGGTTTTTGAAAACCTGAGGGTCAACTTCTACTTCATCATAGTATCGGATACTATCCTTGCCCAAAAAGTCGAAAATAACTGTATTTGGAGGTTTCAAGGTGACATGCTCATATTTCAGAGAGCAACAGCCAACGGTATCAGCCTCGTCTTCTCCTTTCTCATTTCCGGCACGAAGAGCGAACTGATCGATAAGGTAGACAGCCGTAGCTTTCTGGCGTTCCGCCATAAGCTCTTGTTTTAGGCCCTTCTTGTAGTCACTACGGATCCGATCAATGTGTTTCTAGAGGTAAATGTTAGTAACAAGATGCAAAAGATGGGGCGAGCATAATTTTGTTAATAACATACTTTGAGTTCCCTGGCCTTTTCGAACTTCTTGTAATCACTCTGGCCTTTGATATCGGAATTTGCCGCAAGCATGACATATTTGTAGTTGCCGTTGATATTTTCCTGCCACATAGCTAGCCAAGTGCCTTCTTGATCGTGCTTAACTTCCTTCCACTTATGGCCTGCAGGTGGTATTGGGACTTTTGCCTCTTTTCCAATGTTGATAGTGATTTGCTCCGGCATAACTCTAGTCTTCACTTTTCCAGTTTTGGGATGTTCTCCACGACCGCGAAATAGGGCAGGAGGTTCGACGCGGAAATTTCCAACTTTCTGCTTCCTACCATCCCACATACAATACATGTAGGGAGCTTCAAGCTCGTCCTTCTCGGCCTTAAGTCTTTTCTTTTCTGTGGCAGGCAGTGCTTTTTTCTCTAAACGAGCTGCTTCGTAGAACTCGAAGATCGGTTTGAAATCACACTTATCAAATGAATTTATTGCCACTGGGTTTCCGTTCGGGTCCTTCGCACCGCCAGACTTCTTGACGTAGGCAGTGAAGTCATTGAAGAAATTTTTCTGGAACGTCGGGTTCTCAACGTTGTGGGTGGAGTTAAGCATGGAACCGAAGAACCCGGCAACTTCTTCAGCTTCTGGGGCTAGAGTTATTGGAACGCCATCGTACTTCATCTTGACATGCTTAGGCAGTGGCTCGTATGGAGGGGGAAATATGACACCGTTATGTTCCAGAGTTGTCCACTTGATAGTGCCATCTCCTTTGGTTGGATCCTCCCACCAACGATATTCCTCCTCTCCCTCCTCCGCCTCCACGTCAGCGTCGGCTTCTTCGCTAGATTCCTTCTTTGTCTTGGCTTTAGATATTTTTGCGTCTGTAGACTCCGCAACTTTCGTAGACTTCTTTGCGGGCGCTTTACGGGACAGGGGAACGTCTTCATCACTAGATTCCGACTTTTTAATGCCGTTTGCCAGTGTCTTTTTGCCTTTTGTAGCTTGAGTTTTTGTCTTTGTCTTTGCCTTTGCTGCCGCAGCGCTTTCCTTTTTGCGGATCGCTTTTGCTTCCTTCCGAGCACGTTCTTCAATCTTAGCTTTCTCTGCGATTAGACTTTTCCTTATGGGAGCATCCGAGTCAGACTGCTCTTCTGCGGCTGCTTTCGCTGCTGCTTTCCCTTTAGCAGATTTGGATATGATGGGGGCATCATCAGAATTGGAATCTTCTACTTTGAGCTGCGTTGAAGTGCGACGTCGCTTGCTCTATTGGAAAGAGTCAGTCGTGGTCTGCCAAAATTAAACTCAATTTTCGGCGCGGGAGGGGGGGGGGAAAAGTCGTTGGTGCATTGAATAGGAGTATGGCGTACCAATGGCTTATCCTCCTCACTGCTCTCCGGCTCAGCATATGATTTCCGAACTCCGTCAGCTCTTGTCTTTCTCTTGCTTGCACTGGATCCGTTCACGTCGACATCTTGCATTTCGACGTCGTCAGGTTCGACGGTTCCATGGCGAATGGACAAGCCAGGCTGCACGTATCCATTTGCTTTCGGGGAGTGGCTAACGGATGGATCAGTGGACTTCGAAATCAGCTCATCTGAGAGCGCATGTGTCGCTGAAACAGCTGTGCCATCAGTTGAAGCCCCGAGAAAGAAAAAAAATGGAAATGGATTGGTAGTAAAGTGGCGATCTAAGTGAGGTGGTGTGTTTGGTTAAAAGGCTCCAAAACTGACCTGTAGTGTGTCCGTTGGACTTCCTCTTGCCAACAAGAGGCACATCTTCATCCGAGGAGCTCATGACTCGCAAATTAGACACGTACGAGGCCTTCTGACGGGATAAGCAGTGGTGTATATGCGAGAAATTCGGAGGCAATAGAGAACCACGTAGATGCCTTGCCGGGCTGTGGAGGCACGAGGCCGAGAACAGGGTGACAAAGGGGCGAGCAATTGTGAAAAGTGAGGGTGCAAGGGGGTCCGTTAGGAACAGGAGAGGTGGTGAGGTATGCGCTGATAAAGGGTATCTGGGAAACGGGAGCTAGGGCACGGTGGAGTGTGTAGAGGTTGAGGTGAGGTTGGAGAGAAAAAGGCAAGACTTGTCCCGGGTGAGGTTTGGAGTTGGAAGAAGGAAGGTTTTAAAGAGGCTGAGGGTGTCGGCTTCTAATTGGCGGAAGGATTCTCCTCAGTCCAAGACTCCGCTAGTCCCGTTTTGGGATAGCGCGGCTCCCTGTTCCGACGTCCCAATTCATCCAGAAGCACAACCAGGCCAACATCACATCAATGATTTCCCTGGTATAGATAGATATCAGCCTGCTTCCAGTTGCCCTCCCACACGGCATCCGGTATATCTGTTTCAATTGCCAGTGCCCACACAGTTCTGACTATTGCCTATACGTCTCCTCCTCCCGGCAATGCTCTCTCGAACCGCTCGTCCTGCCCTCCAGGCCGGCAGTGCTATTCTTGCACGGTAAGATTTTATCCTCGCCTTAGTTCCTCCGCCACCTTCCCCCCATTCCCCCCAATTACAATTACATTTAGCTATGATCATGTGGGGAGAGTTGCTCCTGGCCATTGGGGACAAGGTTGACTGACGTTGTCATTCCGCACAAGAAGGAATGCACCCGCCAATGCCGCCAACTTTGCGACACTCCGTGAAATAGAGGGTCGGTTGAAGTCCATCAAGAACATCGAGAAGATCACCAACACGATGAAGATCGTTGCCTCCACCCGTCTCAACAAGGCCCAGAAAGCCATGAGTGATTCGCGCAGCTACGGCCAAACCTCGAACGCCGTGTTCGAGAACGCCGAAACCAAACCCCTTGAGAATAAGAAGACTTTGTATGTTGTCGCTAGTTCAGATAAGGGTCTCTGTGGAGGAATTCACTCTGGCCTGAGCAAGGCTACAAGAAGGATGGTGCTTGAACAACCTGATGCCGATATTGTTGTCCTCGGAGAAAAGGCCAAGGCGCAACTCAGCAGAACCAATGAGAAGAATCTCGTGCTGAGCTTCGCAAATGTCGGAAAGGATATCCCAACGTTCGCCGATGCTCAAGCCATTGCGGACCAAATCGCCCAGCTCCCAACCGATTATGCCAGTATCAAGATTATCTACAACAAGTTCATCAACGCTCAGAGCTACGAGCCTGTTTTTATCGAAGCTTACTCGGAAGAGGCCATCACGCAATCTCGTGAGCGGAATCTGCACCCCAGCGCCTTCCCCCTTCCCCCATACACCCCCAGCAGCCCACTGAATGATAATGCAGCGTGACATATTACTAATTTCCATGTAGCAAACATATCTGCCTTCGAAATCGATGACGAAGCTCTTGCCAACCTCCGCGAATATGCTCTCGCCAACAGTTTGTTCTGGGCTCTGGCCGAAGGTCATGCCTGTGAAATCTCCGTAAGTGAATGACAGAATATAACACCCGTTTGAACTATAGAACGCGATGCACTAATTAAGTAACTTCTTAGGCTCGTCGCAATGCTATGGACGTATGTTTTCACACTATATATAACATCCCAGTCCATCCGTCCCCTCTGTTTAGGATGAATTGCTAATTCAATATAATACAGAATGCATCCAAGAATGCTGGTGACATGATCCAACGGTATGTCAAGATGAAATTCTTATTCTTATTCACTTAATCTGTTAACTATTTCTAACCATTCCCTTCCTTCGCTTCCCAACTACAGATTCCAGATCCTGTACAACAGACAGCGTCAAGCCGCCATTACCGGCGAACTGGTTGAGATTATCACCGGTGCCACCGCCAGTGAGGACATGTAAAAAGCCAGCAAACCACAGGGGCCGTCGATGTATTCGAGACAAAAGGAAAAATGAATATGCTAGAATTTTCCTTGGTTTTTTGTAGTAGAATTTTCTCACGCTTCCACTACCCCGGCTACGCTACTGTACCTAGATCCTTTGTTGAAAACTTGTAAAATCAATCACTTTTTCTCTCATGCTATTGTCATGTTTCACTTGTACTTTAATCTTCTGTTAAATAACAACATTCCATATATTCTCATATTTCTTTTTCATTTACTGTTGCTATTGACAAACAGAGTTGCCTCTCTGTCACTTCTACCATCAATCACATTGTCAAATACTCACCTGGAGATTCAAATAAATGAGTTGTTTATTTAAGTCTCTGATGTTTGATCAACTCTTGTTGATATTTATTCTCACTCATGGGATAGCTAGATGCTGGTTATCTCTTCACGAGGATAAAAAAGATTACATAAATCAGTGTTCTATTCTACTTCAGTGAGAAGAGAGATAATTTACATCACGCTCACAATCATTATTATCAGAAATAACATGACACAACATGTAACACAGCTTAACTATTAAGCAAAAATGCAGATAATTTCTGCAATCAGATGAAATTTGACATCAGGGGAGTGTTTCATTTGGGACTTCTACATGGTGGTGTACTCCCTTATAACTAAGGACCAATATTTCAATGCTGCTAAAACTAGTTGGTGGCGATGAAGATATAATTATCCAAATTCCGCAAACCGTAAGATAACAAATTCATGGTGGTCATTATCTCCATTGACAAAACGCCTATCTCCACATATCTGGCCTCTCCACTCGATATCTTATGCGAAACTTTGATCAAGTAAGAACGATGAATCGTACCTTTGCATAGCGGGCAATGCCTTGAACCTGATGGTTGATCGGGAGCCACACAGGCACTGCGAAATTAAGAGAAAAAAGACAATTTGTGATTCTTCATCGTTGGCTCCCGAGACACATGAACACCAGTAGCATGGACAGTCTAATAGAGCTCTTCTGCACGGGGGTATTACCGCCGTATTCACGAAAACGCAAATCAGAGTCAAGTTGCCATCTTGGGCTCTGGCCGAGAAGGGAGGAGATATTGGTAATTTGGATATGGGGGTATCAAACTGTAGGGGCAATTGGGAAGTTTTCTGTGGAGACATTCACTCTCTCAATAATATTCAATACGCCAGTTTCACTATCAATGTCCAATCTTATCAAATTTGGTCCCTCACCCCCGCCCCCCACCCCCCGTTGGTGAATGGAGGGAAAATCCAAGGGCCGAAAGCTAAATCTCGCCACTTCGAAGAGGGCTGAAGGGTCTGTTGATGGCGTATACTCTGATGGTTTTGATATGTCCCACACAAACAATGACTCGATGGGCAAACATCCTTCGTCAGAGATGTATAAGCTTCGGTTCGGTTGCCAAGTATATATACAGCATAATGAGAGTCCTATTAGAATCCGTTCCCAAAAAATCACAAATGTCCCAACCCAAAGATAAACCAACGGGATGAGTCAGCAGATCATCGTCACGTGGCGACGCCGAGAGCACTACTTTCGTCCCAAAACAGCAACTGGACACCTTGCGCCAATGGGAAGGAGACCGGCATGAAGTACGTCCGCACGGCTTGGTTCAAAGGAACGGGGGGCGGATATTTAAAAGAACTCACTCCCTCTCACTCTCTGGCTGGTTATCTAGTATTCTTGCCTGCTGACATGAGCTTCGTATTGTGTTTATGAACTTATCTCCTTTCGTAACCCCCTGCGATCGCTAGCCACGGTTGCATTTCATCCAGCTCTTCCAACCATGCCCAAGAAGAGCTCCGCCGTTCTGCTAATTGCAGCTTTTTGGCAGACACTGTTCGTAAATGTCGGCGGTCTTTATACCAAAAACTCTCTAGTCCTCCAAGTGGATGGTAGCAAATATGACCATTTGATTGCGCGGTCAAATCAGTTATCTGTAAGTGCTTCACTTGGCCTCGGAATCAAGTGTGATTGAAAACCATAAGACGTGGAAATTGACAAATTCTCTAGATTGTAGAGTAAGGTTCTTCCCCTTTAGCGTTGCTGCTAACGAGCTTGCATCTGATTGACTTCACCTATTTCAGATTCTACGCTCCATGGTGTGGACACTGTCAGAACTTGAAACCTGTATATGAAAAGGTTGCCAAGCACCTTGATGGGCTGGCACAGGTTGCCGCTGTTAATTGCGATGACGACTCGAACAAACCCTTCTGTGGCCAGATGGGAATCCGGGGATTCCCTACTCTTAAAGTCATAACCCCGTCGAAAAAGCCCGGACAACCACGAGTTGAAGATTATAACGGTGCGAGAACGGCCAAAGCGATAGTTGAATATATGGTGGATAAGATACCAAATCATGTAAAAAAGATTACAGACAAGGAGCTCGATGGTTGGCTCAAGGAAGCAAATGACACTGCGAAAGCTATTCTGTTCACAGAGAAACCCGCGACCAGTGCACTTCTCCGTGCGTTAGCTATCGACTATCTAGGTTCAATTAGTTTCGCACAGATTCGAAGCAAAGAGACTTCAGCGGTACAAACCTTTGGTATCAAAAAGTTTCCGACCATTGTGCTTCTCCCAGGTGGAGGAAAAGAAGCTATTTCCTACGGTGGAGAGTTAAAAAAGAGTTCGATATCTGATTTTCTCGGTCAGGTAGCTAAAGCCAGCGCAGATCCAAAACCTAGCAAATCTACAGCATCCACTACCTCCGAGGCCACCGAATCTCCAGAGACCAGTTCCAGATCTGTCTCTCCTTCACCATCCAAGGCCCCTGCTCTAAACATCCTATCCACAACCTCAGACCTTAGAAAGGAGTGTCTCGCCCCAAAGACAGGAACTTGTGTCCTAGTCCTCGGAAAAATGCCAGAATCATTGGATTCCGAACCTCCAGCTGGAGCATTTCAGGTATTCACCGGCCTCGCCGAGATCTCTCATAAACATTCGTTGAGAAAGGGACATCTGTTCCCCTTCTACGCTGTTCCAGATACAGTAGAGGATGTCGGTGTATTAAGGAATAAGCTGGAGCTGAAGAAAGACAGCGTCATTGATGTCATCGCTTTGAATGTGAAACGCGGCTGGTGGCAACAATACGACCCGGGAGAGGAAGACGACTTTAGCGCCGCCAAACTTGAAACATGGATTGACGCGATTCGTCTTGGAGAAGGAGCCAAAAAGAAGCTACCCGATGGCGTTGTGCTGGAGGAGCAAGAGGAAGTGACAGAGCCGGCGAAAGAACCTGAGAAAGGGGATGGCAAGGAGCCCAAAGTTGAATCACCAAAAGAGCCAAAACAAAAACCTGTAAAGGAGGAACCAACTACCCATAATGAGCTGTAATTAATTATATTCTAGTACTTCAAAAGATCCAGAACCTTCTCTCCTTTTTCTTGTCTTGCTATGCTCTATTTCGCTTAGCCTGTTTCTCGAGTTGTTATTTGTTTAACCAGGAGTTCTTGTTCTTTATCCCCAACTCATGTTTCATCATATTTTCCTGTGCTTAACAAATCAATGAAATTTACTAATTTACAATTGAATTGACAATGAGATAGAGGACATATTCCCTCTCATGATGACTTTATTAGATAGTAAATGGCTTTAACGAGGAAATATTAGCCAAGCACAATGCCAATTTACACAAAGAAATTCTTACAGAGTATTTCCACGCTTTTCCCAACCCCCCGCAAACTCCCCAGCCACAAAGCAGAATAAATTCTAAAATTTACAAGGAGGGGTAATCGGAGACAATAGCCAAGTAAAAAAAAAGTCAAGGGGAAAACACCACTTCATCTCATCCTTACTTCCTCCCCCCCTCTGTGCCCTTCTTAATCTTCTTCTCCCTCTTGCCTTCAATTTCCTTCTCGTAGATCTCTTTGGCCGACTCTCCCGCCTTGCGCTTCATGGGCTTCGATGACTTGACGCTCACGGTGGGTATATTGCCGTTCTTACCAACGGAGGCGCGGATTTGCTTTTCCGCATCTTCCCAGGCAGCGGCTCCGTTGGCGATTTCGTATCTGTATCATTAGAGAAAAAGGGAGCCGGACGTTAGTTTCATATTATGATGGGTTAAGCAAACGTTTTTGAGGGAAGGAAGAAGCGATGCGCAGCAAGTTGTGTGGAAGAGAAAGAGCCTAGCTTACTGCTCCAAAGGCAACGCATCAATAAGAGCCCGTTGTTTTTCTCTCAACTCTTTAGTAACCTCCTCACCTCCTTCTCTTAGCTCCTTATCGAGTCCAACATCCAGAGGCTGGAATCGCTCAGCGATAACTTCATCATCATGAACGTCCGTAGCGTCCTTCGGAGAAACACTAATTGCCGCAGGCGGCAAAGTCTCCGCCACAGCACCTTCGACTAGAATCCTGAAATGCGCAGAAACTTTCCTGACAATCTTTACAAACATGGCCATCAGCTGGGATGCGGCAACTTTAAGTTCCTTCTCAACATCGTCAAAGGATTTTCGCTGTAAGCCTATAGCCAACAGGATTGACTGCTGAACACCGGAAAGATTCACGCCGCTCCCCAGGCGGCCAGAGAAATAGAATTCCGCGATTGTTGGGACCATGTCGAGGATGACGTGGTAATCGAGCAGATTGTTTGCGTAGCTGTCTAAACGCTTTAGGTCAAAGGGAGAGAATGCAGCGTCCAGGTCTGCTTTTGTTAGGGTGGAAGGTGTGTAAGATGGGTCGGACTTCGAGGCTGCACTGGTGGATTCGCCGATGCTGAGGGAGAGTACGGATGGGAAGTCGTGGAATTGATAAGATAGGAGGGCAAGAAAGCGTTTGTGGAAATCCCGTGCGTAAGCTCCAAGCCAGCTGCTGTCGTTGCTGCCTGTAGATAGGGTACGGAGCATGACACAGGAGTGTTCGCCGGTAAGTTCGTTGGGGGTTTGTCTCAAATAAATTGGAGTGAAGCGGGAGCGCTTCCAGAATTTATGAAGCTGAGGGGTTAGGCCGTAGCTGACGCCCAGGTAGTCAAGGGAGTCTGGACGCCGTTCGTTAAGTCTAGAAAAGAGAGGTGGCATGGAGTGTATGTCTCGAATACGAATACTATCATCCAACAAACTTGAATTTGCTAATTCCTCATCCGTTACCCTGACCAATTCATCGGAGGGGAAATTATCCTCCTCTGACAAGCTTGCAAATTTGCCTTCGAAGAAATCGGTCAGTAGTTCGACAGCGCGTGAGCCGTAGCCCATGCCCAGATAATCTGGATTCGTAGCTATTCGCACAATCCTTGCACCGGAGAGTCCCGCAAACTCTTCGTCTTGAAACTGTTGACTAACAAGCCAGGGGATTAGATCTCCTCCCGCTCGTTGTCCACGGCTAAGGCCATGTAGCACGCTCTGCTTGCTTATTCGACCTTCCAGAGCCACCTGGATTACACAGAGCGGTTCGGGTATCTTGTTGGGGTCAGTTGGTGGTACCAACACATATAGTTGATGCGCTGGCGCGTCACTCATGAGCTGAAGATCATTTGGCGAATTTTTGTAGTGGCTAGCCACATACAACGCCATCATCTGCTGCAAAAGCTTTTCGGGAAGCGGGTGGAACGAAAAGAGAACGTCACGGTTAACGTGAAGTAGCTCGCATTGGGATGGGTGAGGACATCCCTGGGTATTCGCTTTGGATTTAGGAAGGGTTGCGTCGAGGCAGAGGAGCTTATTCATCCATTTCTCCACTGAATCTCCAGGCGCATATCGGATGGGTTCCGAAAGAGTGATCTCTCGCAGTGAACGGCCACCCGAAAAGTTCTTTTCTCCGTGCTTCACAGATTTCCCTGCCGCCCGGTCAACAAAGTGTGTATCATCTGTAGTTTTCGTTCCACCTGTTGACTGCTCCCGAAGTTGTTGAATCAGTTTCAAAGACAGAGATCTTCCAGTTCCTTCATATCCGTTGATGGTGGACGCCATAAATACCAAATACGGACCCATTAGCTTTCTCACTAATGGTAAGGGTATGGCAGCAGCCTCATCAATTACCAAAAACTCTGCTTGTCCAAGAGCAAAGGCATCTTGGGGTTTGATGTACTGAATTGTTTGCCTGTGTTGGCGGTGAACATTGACACGAACAATAGCTTTGTTGAAATCGGGGTTCGTTGACTGAAGAATTGTGTAATCAACATGATCCAGGTATCCTAGAGCGTCAAAGCCCTTGAAGACAAATTCAAACAGAGTTTTCAAATTCTCTGGGCTTGGAGAGGTAATGAATATATTGCTATAGCCGTACGCGATCGCCGCAGCAATGGCAACACCAAGGGCAGCGGATTTTCCACGACCACGGGCAGCAGTTAAGGTAACAGTACTTCTCAGAGTCTTCTCTGCTATGGCATCAACAAACGTGAGAAGCGCTCTTGCCTGGTCCACCGTCTTCGCCAATGTGACCAAGGACCCAACAGGTTCTGTATCTGTCAGCTTATCCTTGATCTCCTTTAGCTCCTTCTTCGTCGGGTCCGTAGACTCGTTGCTTGGGTCAATTGGAGCCAGCGGTTCCACATATTTACCACCCGAGATTGGCAAAACGTTCAGCTCATCATCTACTACCAAGCAAGTTTTGCAGCTTCCCAGAGACAGGATAAAGCGCTCGTTGAACCGTGCGACTACATCGCCATGAGCCTCGGTCCGGTATCTGGAATGGACATCCATAGATAAGGTGTAGAGCTGTTTTAGACTCTTCATTCCCTTCAATAAGAGAATGAGCAGTCCTCCACCTTGGACAGTTTCAATCGTGCGGGCTAACAGATTGGGTGTGAGCGCCTCGAAGTCCTGCAACACACACATCCCATATGTGTTTCCCAGGATTTTGTCCGTCTCCTTGTAATAGACATATCGAATCTGCTGGAGGGTGATGAACAGCTCGAACGGATCCTCGGTGTTTGGGTCCCGTATTCCTCTTTTGATTTCCTTCTTAATCTTGGCCTCGCGCTTCTTGCGATGGCTGGTAAACCCAAGCAGATCCTTCTTATATGCCCATAAAACCGATTTATTCTGCTTAACGTCGACGCTGCACATTATGTGGTGGAGGTGGACAATAACGTCTTTAGCGCGGTCACCGACAATCACGAAGAAGCTCCTTTTCTTCTCCTGTATGCCATTTCTAATCAAGGAGGTGATCCGGGAATCGATCGATTTTCGTGGCATGGTTTCGACAGTGCACTGGCGGAGGTGGGATGGACGACCCCAACGGTGACAAGCGCGGCCAAATTTATTTTGGCTGCAGATGCAAATTCAGCACATTGGTAGAGAAGTGATCACAATACGAATATGAAATGGACAACGGATAGCCGTACGAACTTCAACAGCTGGCATCAGCGACATAAGTAAGGGCACCCAGATCCCGCGCGAAAGCTACTGTCTGCTTAAACCACCCACGTTGATAGATACGCTTTGATGTTGCTCCGTTGACCGAAAACGACAAAATAATAAAAAAAAAAAAAAAAAAAAAAAAAAAAAAGGTCTGTTTGATCTCGGGTATAATTACCTATTTTGGACAGCTACTGAAAATCGGAATTCTTGCCGAGAAACACCAAAGTTCCGTTATCACGTGATTAATTGCTAGTCTTTTTGTGGGATGGTTGAACCTTCTATTCGGAGGAGCTAGCTAGGTTATTGCTATATTACATACAAGCGATCGCGATCACGTGTGGGCGGGGCTGTCGCTAGGGCAACGCCACCCAGGCGGGCGCCGCTACACTTTTTCGGGTATCCTTCCAAGATAAAGATAGGCGGGACGGCGAGGGCAAGTCCGGCAACATTTTTAAAGGGTTTGCAAAGCAAAGGGTATTTCGGCGATCGAGATGGCGACAACTTCGGAGGTTGCTAATTTAATTGACATTCTAGACGCGCAACAGAAGAGGGGCTTATGACTCTCTAAACCGAACAACATCATTAAACGGGATGAAGATGATCATTTTCCCCCGCGAGAGGAGGATCTATGAAAGACACACACACACACACACATATATATATATATATATATATATATTCTAGCAGGTAATTCATAGCGCCCAACCTCCTCTGACTCCCAGTATTTTGGTGCCCGGACTACCCTCCACCTTTATTGCGGAGAAAAGTGACCTGGATGGAAGATCGATGAAAGACTGACCGCACCGCAAACGTTGGTATTTGTTAGTATTATTCTTTCTCCCTTGGCAGAAAGCTACTAATCAGGATGGCTAACGGATAATTACCAATCAACGGTCAAAGTCTCACAATTGACCTATTCGAGGCTTCCGATATGGCTTGTTGCTCTTCAAGTAATATCTAATAGAATTGTAGAATTCTACGCCTGTCCCTTGGGTCAAACCCAAGAGTTTCCCAAGCACTTTATATGGAGTAGCTGTCCCTGGTTCCACGGCGCAAGAGCACCGCTTATATTCTTATCTATTCTTTCTTCTATTCTTATTTTAATCCGCAACTTTTTTTAGATATCCTCCCAGAAAACCCGCAAATCTCAATTACTCTGGGAGATATTTAACTACATACATACATATATCCTGTCGTGACCTCCAGTCACGTGATATATATATTCCACCATATACTCGTTGTTCTCGTAGTTAGCAACCTTTGCAATCAATCAAGCTTGCCATTCTGTCAACATACACCTACCGGCTGGGACCTGCATGGTTGCCGCCGTATGCATTGCCGTCCTCAATTGACGCAGTGGGTGATCCCCCGGATTTCATTCGCTTTTGCCATATTACCTAATAATCGTGCCGCTGCGCAACGTGGGTGCGCCACACCAAAACGATAAAAACACCAAAATGATAAAAATCTTGAATCACATCCTTATTATTGCACTCTATATCAACAACCAGTAGCTAATCTATAATAAAAAGATTATCTACATCATTCCCAGTATGTGTGCCATCTCTAAATTGATTTAATTCCTCTTTTGTCAGTGATGTGAGTGGGTTATTGCCAATTTTCATAGAATCAACTTCAAGCCTCTGTCACTTCTTATTCTGCTCTTTTTCAGCTTCATTATCCTTATGCTGCTTGATTTTTCTATTGGCATCTTTAATAGTGAGGACTCCCTCTACTTGAACCTAGTGACAGATTGTTTTAGCTCTGCAGTGTTTACTGATGTTGAGAAAGTTCTCTAATTCAGTAGTCTATTGCTCATTAAGTTCCATGTTGATTAAACTTGCTTTGAATATCTTGTTCAAATGACATGTCAAGATGAGTGATTTCAAATCAAGAGTATCTTTAATACTTTGTATGGTGTTTTCTGTAATATTAATATGATGTTTCAGCTTTTGAATTGTTTTTGATTAAAATAGCTAAAAGGAAGAGATAAATATATGAATTGAATCATTCTTATCTTCATAAATCTGCAGTGGAGGAGGTGATGAGATTCACTGCTTAAGAGTATCAAGAACTCAGTCAGGATTCCATGGATATATGCCATGTTGAGCTCATTTTGCAGCTATTGTATCAGATTTAAAAATCCACTTTTGCATAGCTGAGAAGTCTTGTAGGAACTGCTGTTTTTCATACTTAACAAAACCATGGCATGCAGCATAGTTAACTACTTTTGAATAGTAATGCTTATATTGCTGAAATGGTAGACTATCCAGAGATTGTAACAAATAAGTAGCATGTGATAAAAATTCATATAAGATTATCTTATGAAGATCTATGTATTGTATGAACTTCTCAATGATATAAGATTCATAGTTATTCATTAAAAGCAATTGATGACGTCCTTTCTGTCTCTTTTCTATAGCAGTATTGAAATATTTAAGTCATTCAAATTCAATCTCATTATTTGTAAATTTAAGATCTGATATAGTAATTCTATAATTGCTGAGCAAATCTGTCTGTGTATATTAATCCTTCAAGTGTGTTTTGAAGGCTAAGATTATCAATAGCAGAATGATATAATTATCCATAGATACACATTCAATGACTATAATCAAATCTTTTGAAAAGAATGAAGAAATGATGGAAGTAACTTCTTTAAAAGCAGTTATAACCCATTCTCCACATCCTTGTCCTTCTTGAAATCTAATCTCATTGAAGTTGTATATGTCATAGGCATGAAATTGATACTGCTTAAATAGAATCTGAAGATATTCAAATCATGTATTGATATATTCAATATCTTCAACTGCCACTCTCTTTGGATTCATTAACTTCTTTTTCACACTCTTTTACTCAGATAGGCATTCAATGAACCTATAAGTTCACATCTTGCTGACTTTTGAAGGAGAGGTAGTAGAATCTATGTGCTGATGTCTGAGCATTGAATTTACAAAATCTTCAATGTGTTCAGCTATGGGAGGATAATTCTTTTCAATAAGCAGCTTGATCCATCATTTAATTGCATTCTTCTGACTCTCATTTAATCTCTTGTTAACTGGAATCTTTGCAATATTCAGATTTCTTCCATTGATACACATTTAGAGATGTTGATAAGCAACCTCAAATTCTCATGACAGAGGCAGTATTTTGAAATTTGAGTTTTTTTAATGATAAGTGACAGCTTTTTGAATACAGTGTTCAATATTTTTATCCTTATTTGACAATGTGGTGAGTTATTAATTGATGAAGATGATGAAGGTGATGAAATTGCAAGATTTTTATCATTTCAGTGTTTTTATCATTTTGGTGTGGGTTGCGCAGCGGCACGATTAATAGCTCCCCCCCCGCGCTTCACACGGGCATGCGAGCACAGAAAGAGAGAAGAAGGAAACAAAAGTTAAAAATAAAAATAAATAATATAAATAAATAAATAAAAGGCCAGATGGAAAGATGTCCTTGCTGACTCTGATCGAACAAAAGGATGGACGTTATTGCGCGCGGGATGGTCCAGCACATTGCATCAACGTAACGTATGTACGGCCCGGCCCGGCCCCATGGGTGCCCGGAGTGAAAATGACGGTCCTAATGCAGCCATGTGTTTGTCTTGAGCGTTTTGCTATTATCCCTGTCTGCGGATTCCTCCCCTGTGTTCGGTCCTTTTCATTCTTTTACGTTCGGCCGTGGTAGCTTCGGGCCGATTGGAAGATAACCACTAAAGAGGACGGCCATTAAAACAACGAGTCGCGAAAAAAAATAACAGATCGGCTTGTGCACACTACAGTGACAGGGCAGCATTCGCGCTGTCCTGAGTATTTTTATTTTTATTTTTATTTTTATTTTTATTTTTTTGGATTCTCGGTCAAATTGCCTCTTCTCCATCTCGAGACCTTGTTGTGGAGGATCATGATGATGCTTTGCAGCTTACCGATTCCCTGCTGCATAACTACCTCAGCAGAAACAATCTTCAAGAGCTCTAGCAAAATCACGTAGGCTTACAAGTGCGAAAGTCCGGCGCACTTCTTGTCTGGCAACATGCGCGCTGACTTTGCGCATTTCCCTATTCTCCGTCATAGTGCAGAATACGGAATGTACCAAACCGGCCCCTTTTGTGAGCACTTACGGCAATTTTCTTCCCCCTGTTTCTTTTCTTCAAAACTAGTTCACATATCCCCTGCAAGGTTTGTATACCTCTTTTTCTTTCAATTCATAAGTATTGAAGCAGTAAATGGGCCACATGTACAGGCACTGTGCAAGGTTTTGATGATAGTGTGAAACAATTCCTCATATCTACTTTTTCAATCCTTCAACTTATCACTCTGTCTTTCTTACATTCTGTCTCTTAATGATAGCTGGAAATATATCTATATTTGCTTCTTGACTGAAGACTCAGCATTGTGAGTGATTTTCTTGCAACTCTTTGCTGTATTACTGAACACAACTATTCTTATTGCATGTACTGAGCTGGTTTGTCATTCTATTCAACTCAGTGATAACTGAGAAATATAAACAACAACCCTTTGAGAATTTATCTTGATTGTAAGTATACTTTGAGAGAGATACATTCTTCTAAATTAAAATGCACTGATCTGATTGCTTTGTTCAATAAAAGAGACTATGTCAGAAATTTAACTGACAATCACATGTCTGATATATGTCATCTTATCTCAAAAGAACAAGTAAATCAATTTTATTTCCTTTTCTATATCACAGTGTCTTGAGTCTCATCTTTGTTTTGACATGTCTTTGTCTTTCCATGTCTCAGATTGTGAGTTCTCATCTCAAACTCATTTGAAAGCTTCTTCACCTCTTCACTAACTCTTAAACAAGATACCTCATATCAGAATGTTGGGGATATCTTTCCTGTTCTCATTTACATATATATTCATGATTCAGATGGCTTATCTGTGGACTGCATTGCAAGCTTTACTGTTTATTACAGTTTCTAGCGAATTTTTTTTCTGTAATTATTTTGCATGCTTCAGGGTACTGGTACATACGGAGCAGTCCATCTCCTGATCCGAATAGAAAGAAACAATTGCAACCTCGAAGTTTCCTGCGGTTGCTATTTTTATTTTTATTTTTATTTTTTGGGTGTCTGTCTCTTTGGGTCTTCTCAGGCAGGACAGAAAGATATTATACACCATCCGAGTGATATCCTTATATCCAACGGCCAAGAAAACTATGGCTACTGGACTGCTAAAGCGAAATCGAGCAAAAACCTTAAAGAAGTTGTGGCTGAATATCAGCAGCGTTGCAATCAGCGTCCACCACCGTATGTAAATTTGACTATGATCAAATATACGAAGACCTTCTCCCGTTTTGGGCATTAAGTCCCCAGACGGTCAGAGAGTTGACAAATCTCATGATCATGGATCGTTTCAACGAAATTACTGCAGTAATTATCCGCGATGGAAGTGCAAAATTACAAGAAGATATTATCCCCACCCATGAAGGGATGATCGAAGGTGTCGCAAAGATGGTCACCCCCTTCGCTCAGTATCTCCCTGATATGGATATCGCATTCAACTTGAACGATGAATGTCGAATTGCTGTTGCATGGGAAAACATTACCGCGCTATGCAATTCCGGGAAGAGCCACGTCCCCTGGGCCAGTGATGAACTAACGTAGTCCTGGTCCCAAATTCGAGCCTCAACCTGGGTATCTAGCAAGCCCACAAATCAAAGCCCACACTAGCTTTTCATAGACGCCTCTTTCCAGCGGATTTATGATTTAGTCGGATGCTCAATGTTTTGTCCTCCAGAACCGAAAGCCAAAACATCATTGATATAGAGCTAGCGAAGCGTCTGCTTAGATTGCGCCAGACCACACTCCGTCGACTAATTCCTACAAGGCTGGACTCTAGCATCTGATATCTGCCATCAACCCGGCCTATCTTCTCTACACGGCATATGTACATCTCCCTCCTCCCTTAAACTATCGATATCGCTCTTACCGGTCTTTAGCCAGAGCAAAGTATCCGGCTTCAATGACATTCTCTACCCAAGCGCCTGGAATTACATAGACTAAGTCGTATATAGTCCCAGCGACGAACACCCAGATCCGCCTTACCCCGAAAACAACCCCGCCCTCCTCTGGCGCGGCACCACAGCTCCAGTGACGAATGGAAAGGCATGACCTCCACCTTGCCAACAACCACACCTCATATCCCGTTTCAATCCTGCTTCCCTCCTCGTCCTCATCCAAGGAGAACCCAACTTCCAGCAGATACATCAACATCCCAGCCTCAAGCGTCTCCACCACTCTCGATCTCCAAACTTCCGTCTTCCTCACAGACAAGGTAACCCGCTGCAGTATACAGGACTGCAATGCCCAAACAAGTCAATTCGGCTTAGGCCCCTCAATTGACCCCCAAGAACATTGGAAATACTGGTTCCTTATGGATGCTGACCGGGCCAGTTTCAGCGGGCGCTTCTTGCCAATGAATAGATAGGCGACTGACGCCGTGGCATCACTTTGTGCCGATTGATGTTCGATTGCACGGATTGTGGAGTTCTTTGGCATATTTTTCTGGGGGAAGGATCGTGGATGCCAATGCTCCTGATGCTGGTGCTGATGCTGGCGCTGATGCTGGCCTGAATAACGAAAATAGTAATTGTGACGTTACGAAAATTAAGGACGAAAATGCGAAGGAAAAATTATCAAAGACGACTATCAATACCAATCGTAACGGAGACGATGATTACGATAATCACAAAATTCTGATGTATCCACATACTCGCAAAGGAGAATTTATAGCTGAAGAAGGCTGCAAATGGGCTGAAAAGGCGCTTGGGAAGGAAGATGTGGAAATCTACATGTTTCGGCTGCTGTTGGAGTGAGAGCGGTTGACGGATGATAAGATGGAGTTGGGGTTTCAGACCTGATGATATTCGGATGCCATTGGATTAAATTTTTAATATCTACACACACATGGCTTTGCAATTGATAAAAATAAAGAATTTAATGATTAATTGAAGATATTTCTTTCCATCAAGGTGAAGAGTTGGCATCTATCAAGGATGCTAGCTAGCACAGATAACTAAATGACCAGAACATATAACCAACATAGTGAGCATGACATAGAAAATGATGCATGAACTTCACCTGTCAATAAGCTGTCCACTCTCCAGCGATGCTTTACTTCTAGGTATTGACTTATGGCACAATTTTATTTAGTTTTCCCATCCTTCCGTCACTTCCATTCTGAACTTCAAAAATCATGTCTATCTCTGGCATTTGTTGCCAGGGCGCTTTAATTGTCTGCTGATTGCAAAGGGGGCTAGATATTAGTATCCTGACAGTGGATGAAGTTTTTGTTTTAAAGTACTATTCATCTCCCTCTTTCTTTGACCAAAAAAGGAAGGCGCAGTCAAACATTGTACAAAGCATGAATAGTATGTATATAAAGGGTTCTATGTATGAACACAAAACGGGCCTTCGGACGGCCGATTCCAGAAAGAAAAAAAGTAAAATGAGTCTCATACCAACTAGATGTACGCAGAACAACAAAAAAAGAGAACCAATCCACTACCGGTTTATTTACCTCTACCCATGGTGATGTCGTGCTGCATGCTGATTTATGTGCTCCTTTCGCTTCACCGCTCTATACTTATCATTTGTTGGATACCCATCAGCAGAATACTCATCTGTGGGATGCTCATCATCCGCGGGATTCTCATTTGTTGGATACTTAGCAGGCGCCGGTTCAATGGGAACTATGGCCTCTTTCGGAGCTGCAGAAGGGGTGTAGACGATCGCAATTGTGGTTTTGGTCGTGTAGGTCACGCAGCTCTCTGTTGGTGGAGGGGTGCAACTTAAGATGTTGGTTGCGTCGTAGGAAGAAGAGGCGGAGCTGTCGGTAGGGTAACCGTCTGTAGGATAAGGGGTGCTTGGTTCGGTGGGGTAGCCGTCTGTTGGTTGGGAGGCGCTTGGCCCAGTAGGGTAAGCGTCTGTCGGATATGAGGCACTTGGTTCAGTGGGGTTCACGTCCGTAGGATAGGAGGCGCTTGGCTCGGAGGGATAGATGCCAGAAGTACCTGAAGTGTTGGACTGGGTTGTTGAAGCGGTAGTTGAGACGATGGTCGATGTGGACTGTCGTGTGTTCGAGGCTGAAGCACGGGTGCTAGATGATCCACCTGGCTGGTTTTGGAAAACCCTCAGATAATTGATAGACCAGTAAGCTTCTTTGAAGTCCTTGGGGTTGTTCTTGACATAATCTTCGCAGGTGTCGGCTTTGGCAGAGCAGGTATCATACTCGGGCCAAGTGACTCTGGCCCAGTCGCCGCAGAAGGCGGTGTTGAAAATCTGATGCCACGGAAGTTTATTTGGTTAGTTTCAAGTCACATGTGATGGACAGAGATTGAGAAATACATACAATTCGCTGTTCCTTGAAGAACTTGTCAAAGTCGCAACCCGTGAAATGTGCGACTGGTTTACCCCAAACCGACGGGTCGGGGTTCACCCCATTGATATTTGCGGGAATATAGGAGCGTGGGAAAAACCAGACGCTGACGGCGTCGCTCTTCCACTCCATCGCATACACACCCCCACCAATTGAATTGAAGTCAGGTCCCCAACCCTTCGAGCTGGTATCCTGAAACAAACAACCTTGGTTTGACGGCTGATTTGGCGAGTATACATCACAGTCGGTAGTGACGAGACTGCCTGTGAATTTACCATTGTTTTCTATTTGACACCCCTTCGTAGAGTGCAACGCCACAACATTCTGTTTTTGGGTGTTGACACCCTCGATGATATCGAATTCACCGTCATCTGGCCAAGAAGCCCCTGTCGTCCAGCTGTAATGAATAGTCAGAATACTGGCAACTGGGAATTGACATACTTCGACCCGCCTTAGAGAAGCTAGTGGGACTCACAATGCGGGCCAGGTTCCGCAGATCCCTCCTGGCATGTGGGAAATATCAGCCACAATTAGTCCATGTTTGTAGGTTTTCCTCGTCTCAAGTCGAACACTCTTGCGGCCCGAGCCAGTTGCGATGTTGGTATGATCAACTCCGAGATAAACAAAATCGTTTTTATCAGAAGCTAGCCCATCCTTCACTGCCGTGTTTTGATCGACATAGGTAACATAAGCATTACTGGGGTCAGCACCCTGTAAAACTGTTAGTTAGTTGCCTCAATGCCAGCAGTTGTGGTAGCCAAGCACGACTGGATTAGGGACTTACATCGAAGAACTCGAAGCCGTCAAAGAAGTTTGATGGCTGATAGTCATCTTTCAGCACGTAGGACGCGGCGCTGAGCTTAGTCACGGCGACCAGAAAGGTCAGGCTGGTAGCCCTCATGATGACTTCGTTTGCTTCTAGTTTGTCTTTCTAAAGTAATGATACAGTTATATTATTTATTATGTTGTAAACAACCCAAAGGGAGTCCGTGGATGGGTATATATCAACTGGATCAAGAGAGTAAAAAACGATCTTCCGTTTCGCAGAAAAGAGGGCAGCCCGGAGTGTGTATATAAACACACGAAGAAGAATAATATCAGAATAAGGAGTGGAATCGTTGCAACGCTTGCAGCAACTGGACGTCGACGTCTCCGCAGCCTGGAAGGAGTGTTTGCCTGCGGAAATGAAAGGAAAGCACAACAGAACAATGACAACAAAGACACGGATTCACACACGGCAGCATTCCCAGGATGAGACTTGGGGGGGGGCATTGATTTATTTTTATTGCCATCCTCCTTGACCCCTTCACGACGCGGATAATTGTTCGCCCCTGAATTGGTCCACACAGCATGGCGGGCCCCGTAGGCCAAGCAGGGGTGACAACATCCTTACTCTTGCGCTTCGGACACATCCAATAATATAATAAGCCTGCATCAAGACTAGAGTCGTCTCGTCTCGCCCAAGGCAGGCCCAGTGCTGTTGACGAGCCACCAAGGAACTGGCGTGGAGAGCTCGCCAAACTGGAGGGCGATTCTGGTGAATCTTGTGCTGTGCCCCCCACCCCCTCCCCCCAACCACCAATTTGTGCTCTTTGTTGGAGTGCTGAAACAGAAAGTCGACAGGTCTGGTAGGTATCTGCGAAGCTTTCGAGATATCAAACCCAGCAATGATTGACCATCGCAAAGGTCCATGTCCTGTTTGATGGACAGCAAGCAGCGAATATTTTTGATTGAAACATCGCGCCCACATCTTCTCCTGCCAACTCGTGCCACCCAGCCCTAATCCCCTGGCAGAGCAACCGGTCGAAACCAGAACGGCCCTTGGCGGGGTTTGGAATGATATCCAACTCAGACACTGATCCAATCAATCCGTAGCGGGCCCTGGCGCTAGACAAGGACTACACTGCAAGACTTACATTTTGTGCGCATGCCAAACATTAATAAAAAAAAAAACATATAGTTAGTTAATTTAACTAATTATGCGAAGTTAACTAATAATTAACTAACGTAATTTCCCATCGAATTCAAATTTCCTTCCTCCTCTCTAGTTAGGCCACTTCCACCCGCAAGAATTGCCACCAAATCGCAATAAAATTGCAAGTAACTCTCATAGAGATAGAGGAACGAATTGAACTTGCAATTTCAACTTGTTAAATGGCAAGAAATAACCTCCGTTCCACGAAGCAGCTCGCGCACTCGACGCTTCGTTAACGGCACAGCCGCTGGTAATATGGATTAAGGTTGATCCGCTCCGATCCTCAACCTCTTTATATTCGGCTGCTCGCTCATTCCACATTCGAATCCCCAGTTTATGTCTATGTCTATGTCTATGTCCATGTCCATGTCCATGTCTATGTGAGCTCCTCAGTGATTGTGATCATGCTGAGTGCTCAAACTCTATGTCTACATCTATATGTCCATGTCTATGTGAGCTTCTCAGTGGTTGCAACTGCGCTGAGTGCTCAAATCTATGTTTATTTTGTTCTCCTCTACCGACCCTCTCCTCATTATAAAAGCCTCTCCTGCTGCTCTTCATCAGGAATTTGAGGGTGCTATTCAGAAGCCTTACAATCAAAAGTTTCAGATAGCTCTGAATAACTTTTGATCTCAATTCTGTCTGAAGTTCTCACTGTCAGATCTCAAATAAATTTCTGACAGTGTATATTACTAAGTTAAATGCACTCTCTATAACATTAGAGCTTATATTGTATATCAGTCCGCAACTGTTTAGCTCAGCAGTTAATTTTCTTTAAATCTACAAGAAATTTCTACATGTTATCTAAGCAATTAGCTTTTAGATCTTTCTTCTTCTTTTTTTTATTATTATTTTTCTTCATTTAAGATGTATTTAGTCAATAACTATGATATCTATCTAGTTAAAACTAGAATTTAACTATTTACTAATCTAATTAATAAATAGTAATCAATCTATGTATTTATAGAGTTTTATCTCAGAATAATATAGTATTTAACAATCTTTTAACAAAAGACATATTTATAGTTTCTGTTAGGGAGTGAATGTGAGCTGCATAAGAAGGAAATTCTTTGTGTTGCTAACTGCTATATAACAAAATACTAAGATTGATGAGGAAAAAGAAGTGTCAGAATCTGCTCAGATTATAGACAGCCCATTGATCACGTGACCGGATCATAGCCGATCCGCTAGGTTATATGTGTTGGGCGTATGTGTGGGATGGTTGAACCTTCTATGTATGTGTGTGTGTGTGTGTGTGTGTGTGTGTGTGTGTGTGTGTGTGTGTGTGTGTATGTGTGTGTGTGTGTTTTTATTTAATGCCTGGTTAGTCCACGTGCCTTATGAGCATGTGATCTAGTAGAGTCTGCATCAAACTATAGGGCGGGTAGAGCTACGTCTATAGATGACTATCTATCTAGTAGCTATCTTACAAATGAGGCAAAAGGGTTGCATATTGCTGCACT